GGGTCCAAAAATCACCTTCCTAATCGGGAAATCAGACCCTCGATTTCGCAAAGAGTGGCTAAATCGCGTTTTCAGAGCTCTGCCAGGTTGCCCGCGGGTCCGCCGCCGGGGGGTCCGGATGATATTGCAACCCCTACGGATTTGACCGCTGCCTGCTCATTGAATCTGCCTCCACCCAAGATTTCGCGTTCCGGGCGAGTTATTAAGCCCAACAAACATCTTTTGAATTAGCTATATATTTTTATATGTAATTTTCTATATATATTTTCGTCATATAATATATCATATTAAAATCTAATTGCGTTGTTGAGATATTAATGAAAAGATTTCATTGTAGTGGTGGCAAAATAGCGGGCGTTGAGTGTAGACGGGCGTTGAGTGTAGACGGGCGTTGAGTGGTTGATTACGTTAGTTAAGTTAAAAGTCTCCCAAAGAAACTTTATTTAATGTAACAAACTACGATTTATTCTTGATTTGACTTCCCAGGCGAAAATATCCCTGCCAGCCGGCCTACGTGTAGATGTATAAAATAGCTAAACATCCTAATATACACATCTAGACTAGTCATTCTCCGGCCATGTGGCATCTCGGGCCCTGTGGCCGTTTATGCCTGTGACTGCTTCTGCTTTTCATGGTATAAATAGAATGAATATGATAAATGAGTGCACATTGTAACACTAGTATAAAAAATCCATTTGACACATTTCTCATCATAGGCTGCTGTACCTGCTTCGATCTAGCGCTGGCAACTTAGTGCGGATTTCTTACAGCAGAGTAGATTTATAAACTGATAAAATTGAAATAATACTTTCCTTTCAATATAACTTAATTACATTTACAATATCATAATTGAAATATTATTTTTAAACTTATCTTTTATATACCTTTTTGTAACGGGCGTATTACCGATTAACTAGGCACTACCTTGATTGCAGATTGCACCGTTTGCACTGCTTGCAAGCACTGCAAACGGCCTAAGCACTATCCTAATCACAGATTACAAATTGATTAAGAAAAGAAAGAGAAAGGAATCACAAAGAGAAGATCATACAAGAGGGTTCTTATAGAAAAAGAATTGAATTGGAAGGATATTCAGAGGTTGTGCTCTCATGAAGCGCGGAGTGGAAGAAATCAGTTAACATGTGGGCACATGAGCGGGCAAACGGGTTATAAAGTTAATTGCTCAAGACAATAATTAACGGGTACTAACCCATCACAATTTTATATATAATCTCATTTATGGACTTCTTTTTTCACTGTTTTAAGGGTTGCTTTTAATCAAGTTATTCATTATAATTCTCAAGTGTGAAAATCTGCAATTGAAAATCCATTTAGTAATATTTTACTATGAAGTCTCTATATATATATTTTGCTCTTTTATTTCAAATAATTACATGCGTATATTGTGCTGTTATACCGGTATGTTTAAATACTTATTTAAAATAATTTAAATATTAAAAATATAAAAATATAATATAAATAACTGATAAATTTATTTTTATATATAATAATTTTATATTATTGTTAAAGAAAAAAGGTAATGTTAGTTGTTATTCTCATTGACTTTATATAATTATTATACAATTACTAATTATAATAATATTAATAATTGTATAGATTTATCAAAATACAGTGACAATTCTGCCGGTTATATAAAATTTCTCAATAATAATGAAGAAATTAAAAATACCACTTCTATGAATTTCAATCCTTTGAAATCTAGATTCGAGTGTAGAACAATACTTTGCCGCACTGATGCTGAATGTAATCGTTTTGGATGTGCAGGTTGTAATCGTTTTAAACCACCCTCTAGAAAACAATGGTTTTGTTATTATTAAATTTTTCATTTAATGTATTAATACTACAAAGCAATGCAACTTAAATTTTCTAAATACATTTTAAAACAATGAATTTATATTTTCAATAATTAAATTTGATAGTGATATTTAAGGAATATATATATATACATTCAGAGGGAAATCCTTTGAGCCCTCTGAATAAAGTTACTGCAATATAAAATTACATTTATAAACTGAAGTATCGCTATATATCATCACTGATTATTATCATTAAATATCATTATTGATAAATTTTATCATTGAATATCAATCATTCATTGTTATTATTATTATTCTTCTGTTATACTCATATGCAAGCAGTGTTTATACTAAGTCTTTATGCGATATTAAATATAGACAAGAGTTAGTTATACAGAAGAAATGTTATAACAAAATATATAAATTTTAATAAAAAACAAAATTTGATAAAAATATAAATTAACTGATGAAATTATAAATTACATATTTGATTTAATTTGATTTGATTTCATTTCATTTCTTGATGTGATTTTAAATGAGATCAAAATCAAAATGAGAATGTAAAGTGATTACAATTACTAAAATATGAGAGAAATGAAATTAATAAATCTTGATATTTCATGTAAAATAATTGATTATCAAAAATAAAATCGTGATGTGAGATTGATTATGATTTTGAATGAAATTTAATTCCATTTTGATGATTATATAATACATCAATCTGATCATATAATTGGTGAAGATTGTAAGAAACCCGCATTTATCCGTGTTAAACCGGAAGTAATAATTACTTTAAAAATATGACATTGCTGAACTTAGTATCATTAACATCATATTGCCACTTGCATCATACTATATTATCTATGTCATAATAAATTTAATCTGTTTATGATATTGTGTGTATATAATTAACAACTGATTCAACTTTTTAAAGATCAGCAAATCATTCTGTTATAATCTAATCTCTATATTCTACATTCTTGATTATTATTATTATTCTTCCGTTATACTCGTATGCAAGTAGTGCTTATGATGAGTCCTTGTATAATGTTAAATACAAGCCAGAGTTGGTTGTACAAAAGGAATGCTTAGTGTTGAATGATGTCAAGAATGTAACAGCAACATAAGAAAATTAATGAAAGACAGGATTTGATACTCATGATACAGGTTTCCAGCCCAGAAACAATAAGCTAAATCAGGTAGTAGATCCGCCTAAAGGTACCTATTTGACAAGTTCACATTCCTTTATTTTAGAAGCTGAGAAGTTGGCTCTGGATGTAATGTTGTCCTCTTGTGGGTTTCAAACCCACGCGCCTTGGGTCCCCACACCAAGGCGCTACCTGGTGGCCACCTTACCCATTCAGCCACCGGGGCAAAAACAGTTTCAGGTATTTCACTCATTCTATTGAGAGTTTTCTCATTAATACGATCCAGTACTTGGAGCTCAGTGGCAAGGCTTAGTATCATGTTGTATTATAGATTCCACTTTTTAAAAGAATTTAAAAAAAGTGAAACTTTTAATGAGAAATTTTCTGCTGACATTTTGATTGTTGTATATAGATATAAAATTAGTATAGAATTGAATTGATAATTGTGAGAAGTTATATATCATATCAAACATTCTGATGATATGTGAAAAGTGATATATCATATCAAACATTTTGATAATATGTGAGAAGTGATATATCATATCAAGCATTTTAATGCTATGTGAAAAGTGATATATCATATTTAATATTCTGATGATTATATGAATAAGAATCTTTTATTATCTCAATTCTGAAAACCACATCAATGATCTGATGTATACCAACACTGCCCCTCACTATATATTCAAGCATTCTCTTTCTTATAAATACTGCCTGTTTATCATGTAATTACTGAAGTTAATAAGCCATTCAATTTTATTTCATTGATTGTCACACCCTTGGTTGTGCCAAGGCCCCGTGGCGGTTCCACACGGCCCATCGCTTCCCCTCGGATCATCCCATCTATCCCATGACGTCACGCAGGTGTCCGAACCGGTTTCCAACCATCCTATGACATCATTCGGATGCAATAGAAGAGGATCCGATTGATGGGATATGAGAATCCTGTTTCTATACGGGGTCAGTAGATTCCTTCTGGCAGATCAATGCAGCGCCACTGCGGAGTTGCTTCAGCTACCCTCGCTCATAGAGTGAGGGGAGGATGGCTACCCGTTGTCTATATAGAATAGCTAGATGCTGGCTCTCTATTCCAGGAGCCAGCGATTCGTCTTTTATCTTTTGACAATGGGATACCAGAGTTACTACTGTCCTCATACAATATTCTTAGTGTGCCGAGTACCTCTGGTAGTTCAGTATTTGTATAGTATTCTACGAGTTCGCGGTTCAAGCGAGATAATCAAGCCCACCCATAAGGCTTCCCATTATATACCATCCTCCTCTGTGCCGCTGCCGAGTAGCAACCGCCTCGGCGCCGTCACATTACATTGATATTCAGTATTTGGATCAATATTTAGAATTTATACAGTTCCGACAATAATCGATATAGAATTGAATGGATATAATCAATATAAGATTCTATAGATATAACTGATATTTCGCCGCTATTTTTTGCTGATATGTAAATTCATGAGAATCGGATAGATGTAGTTATCCACGGGGCGCGTTAGCGGCGTTATAACATGACCCCCCCAAATAACCAGGTTATCCCGGACGCCACCCCAGCCAAACCCCCCCTGGATAACTGAGTTATACGGGGGGGGTCTGCTTGGCATGTTATCTTGGCAGTTATTGGAGCTCTGTACAAGATGATTGGCTGAAGAAAAATATTGTGGGTAAAAATTGATTGATGTAGATCTGACTAGCTAGCTAGCTACCTTTCCTCCATCTTTCTTCTATCTATATGACCTGGTTGGCTTCACCATATGGGCTACTAGTCCTAGACACCAACGTAGAGGTGCAGATCATGTCTAGGTGTCATACACAGACTCCGTATGACATACCTGCCCCTCCAGAAGAGAAAGAGAAAGAGAAAGAGAAAGAGAAAAGAGATTGTACATACCAGAGAGAGAGAGCTAATCAAGGATTATAGGAGCAGCAGGTGTTGAACCAGCTGTGAGCAGCTGCTGTCCAGAGGGACCCCTCATCCGCCGTTGAGGGCCATCCTCCTCATCATCATCATCATCCACAATCTCTATCACCTCCACCCCTTCCCCATCTCGTACGGAGCAGCGAATGGCATGATCACGCCATTTGCAGTTGCCACAAGCTCCACCAAAGTGGCCAGGCAGGCGACGGCATTCTGTGGGAATGGCCGAAGACCTGGATGAGCACTCCGGCAGGCAAGGCATGCATGTGGCTCCGTCCGGCCGCGAGATTGAATGAGAAAGGCATTGATGTACGATGGCCGGTGGCTTCGAACCTGCAGCTCTGTCATGCTGCCTCGTACAGAGGGTACATCTTGCCCTGGGAGACCCAGGACTGCCCTGGATTGTGGACTGCGGGTGAAGGGACTCAGCTGTTGATCAGCCACGAAGAGGATGCGATGGGGGCCCTGAGGGCCAGAGAGACCGAGGAGGGAGAGAGCCCTATATCATACGGAGAAGAGGGCAGTTAGTGTTGTGATATCTGATATCTAGTTGATGAAGCAATCTGTCAGAGCTTTGTACATACATGGTTGATATGATGGTGTGTTGAAAGAAGAAGAAAAGAAGAAGAGGAGAGAGAGGAGAAGAGGATATTATTATAGAGAGATGAGTGGGTGCAAAGAAGCAGATGCAATTCACTGCTTTTGTCATCATCATCAATCTGCCAATTCATCCACCCCCATCAATCAGCTCACCACCCTCTGTTGTCTTCGTACGATAGCCAGCTGTAGTGAGAGAATACACTGTATAGTAGGAAACCTTCATACAATGAAGAGCAGAGCTGCATTAGCTAGCTAGCAGTACACTCTAATCCATCTAAAAATACACTCTATCTATATTATTATATGAAGTCAAAGTCCCAGCAACTCCGTATGAAGAGAAAGGAAATGACAGGTTCTCTAGAGCTGCCTCTGTCTTTTCAACAGCTCTGTCAATTTATTAAGAGAGAGCTTCCCCCGCTGACGGATCAGCTCCAGAGATTCCACAGCAGCACTGACAGTCATACCAGAGGACACACGCGTACGAATCTCATTGATGATGATCTTTCGCCGGCAGAACATCATCTGCTCCTTGGAGGAGCTCTTGCGCCAGCTGCCTCCCTGATCCTCCAGGCTCTGCACTGATGGACCACCCCCCAGACCAGTGGTCCACTCCCGCCACAGATCAGGCACTGACTGTATCGTACGGGAAAGAGAATAGCCATTTCCTGTCCAGGAAGAGGTGAGAAGTGTGGCTGTCAGATCCACAGATTCAGCATTGTTAGATGATGATTGTCTCATCTCCATCTCTGACTCCACTGACCTCTGTACGATGTCTCTGGAAAGAGTAGAAGAAGAGGAGGGCAGAGAGAAAGCAGAGGGAATGGCAGCCAGATTCATCACTGAATTCTGAGCAGCAGAGCTCTGAGGAACTGCCCGTATGGAGAAGGTGATTTGACCATCAACTAGATCAGCAAGCTGCTGAGCCATCTTTTGCTGCAGCTGTTGATTCTCATAACCCCACTTATCAATGGACTGAATCATCTCCTGTCGCACATTTTTCAGCTGATCAGTAATGACAGGTACTACTCGCTGAATCTGAATCTCCTGAGGCTCCACAGCTGTCTCAAGAGCCTGAACAATCTGAAGAGTATATTTCTGATAATCCTCTCGTACGAAGAGAGCATCTGACCAGAGAGGGTGGTCAGGGAACTGCCTCTGCAGAAGCACAGAGTCCTGAAGAATCACTGTACGAAGCTGCTTCAGCAGCCGCAGAAATCCCTGAGCTGCTAAGTCTTGTTCATCCTCTGGCAATTCTTGCTCTGTCTCCTTCACTTCTTCCATTTCTGCTGCTTCTCTTTCCCTCCTCTGTGTCTGTCTCTGTTTCTGGCTCAATCTCTCGTACGAATCAAATCTATCTAGCCAGACATCCACCCATGGCCAGATGGCAGCCTCCAGCTGCTTCGGGGGGGGGGGGGATGGTGGCTCGAGGAAGAAAGTAGTTGCCCTGAGTCTGTGGTTCAAACCCTGCCATTGCTCGTACGAACTCTCGGGGGATATTGGTGAGATAGCAGTTGGTCAGAGCATCATTATTCCATCGGCCAGCCCGGCGAATCTGACCCTCTGACACCCCATTCAGTTCAGCATATCTGGACCCCTGACTCCGACCAAGATGAGTCTTCTTGCTTGACAGAAGCCCAGCTGCTGCATACATGCGATTGACCCACTGAAGCTGAGTATCGTACGAAAGAGGCTTGAAGGGATCCTGTCCACAGAGAAGGTGGATATCATACCAGAGAGAGCGTCTTCGAAAGTCTGGAAGACTTTCCCGTACAATATTCCAGCGGTAGAACAGATAGAATGCCAGATGAGATATTGTACAGAGTAGAGGATTCTTATGTCTCATCACAGTAGCATACTCCAGCCGCCCCAGCTGGTTGGTCTTGCCATTATCTGTGATGAGAATCATAGGCCAGCATGGAGTGGGCCCCTCATTTGAAAGCTGAAGGGTGAAAAGGTCAGGCAGCTGTGCCGTACGGGATGTCTCCCCCCGCAGAAGCATGTTGTGATTCATGAGGAAGTTCAGCCCTGTACGAAGATGGCTCATCACAGATGTTTGATCATTTTTATACCAGCCAGTCCAGCAGAACTTCATCAGATGAATCATCATCTTCTCATTGTATCCATCCTGCAGAGTATTGGCCCCCCGATCCACATACTGTGCCCGCTTTCGTACAGACTCCTTGGTTTCATGCGTACGAAGAACTGCACTGACCAGCTGTCCACGTGGATGATCAGAGGAGTTGATTCCTCTGCTCTTCTGAAATCTGTACAGATCCACCACGGCTGCCACATATAGCTTGACTGTGCTCTTACCCACAGTCTGCAGCACAGTGTTGCCATCCCTGTCCGTACGAGCTCTCTTGCTCTTATAAACAGAGCCCTGCAGTGGACGACAAAGCACCTTCTCCTCCAGAAACCAGACCAGCTTTCTCTCTGTCACCATCTCCCCATCTTCAAAGCCAGTCTCCTTGCAGAAGTCCTGTACGAAGAGATAGGAGTTAGAACTAGAATGATCAATCTGGATGCAGGGAAGCAGTGCCACCCACCCGCCCTTCTCTCTGCTTGGGGAGATACTGCTTATTGGTATTCTTTGGTCGATTCTGCAGGGCCAGGGCCAGGGCCTTTTCCCCGTACGAAAAGAGGTCTTTGCTGATCTGAAGCTGCCGCTCCACCTCTGTACAGTCAGCTAGAGATGTCATGATGAAGAATACAGAGCAGGGGTGCTTAAAAATCTATTCTTGAAGGATGATGCCTGCTCGTACGGTATGAATCAAGTGGGGTTGAATGTATGTACGGTATAATTAAACACTAAAAAGTTATCGTGGGGCTTGGCTAACATACATAGTAACATGGGTTATAACGCCACCCAAACCCCCCCCCGTATAACCACTAGATATATTGCCGCAATCATCACTGATGAAGAGGTCGGTGAGATCGGATAGATAGATATAATCAGATAGATATACTCAAATAGATATCTTTGCTGATAAGAAGGTCGGTATGAATAGATATCAATATAGTTGAATAGATAGTGATAGATAGCTAACCCGGGCTTATAACTGTCAGAACTGAATAAAGTCTGAATATTGATTCAAATACTGAATATTAATGAAATAAATTGAATTGCTTATAACGTAATCGATAAGCGAGCGAGCCACATAAGCAAGCGAGCCACTTCCCACCTGCCATACAACAAGAATGCTTTTCAACAAAAATGTCAACCACTCAAAGAAATAAAGTCTCTGCTCAAGAAGGAAGGCTTCTTTTAGCCATTCAAGCACTTAAAAATGATCAAATTTCAAGCATACGAGCTGCAGCAAAGCTGTATGATGTCCCTCGCTCAACCCTCACTCACCGTGTCTCTGGTCGTACAGCACGCGTGGACATTCCCCCAAAGAACCGAAAACTTAGCCTTACAGAAGAAGAATCACTTGTTCAATGGATTCTAGCCATGGATGAGCGAGGTCAGCCACCCCGGGTTGCAGCTGTACGAGAAATGGCCAATCTCCTTCTTGCCAGTCGAGGAATCAACCCCTCACCCACAGTGGGTGAATGCTGGGTACGAAACTTTGTCAATCGCTATGAAGAGCTGAAATCCAAGTTCTCCCGCAAGTACGACCATCAACGTGCACTATGTGAGGATCCTGAGGTTATCCGTGGGTGGTTTAAGCTTGTACAAAACACCATTGCAAAGTATGGGATTCTGGAAGAGGATATCTACAACTTTGATGAGACAGGCTTTCAGATGGGGGTTATTGGGACTGTCAGAGTGGTGACTGGATCTGAAAGAGCTAGGAATCCCAAGCTTGTACAGCCTGGAGATCGGGAATGGGTGACTGTTATTGCTGGGGTCAATGCAATGGGCTGGGCTCTCCGTACAATGATTATCCTCAAGGGAAAGATGCATCAGTCCTCTTGGTATGAGACTGAAGGGCTGCCGCATGACTGGGTGATTGGAGTCAGTGAGAATGGCTGGACCACTGACCAGCTGGGCTTGTACTGGCTGAAAGAGGTGTTCAACAAGGAGACTCTACCCCGTACAAAGGGCAGATACCGATTGCTGATTCTAGACTGGCACCGAAGCCATGCCTCAGCTGAATTTGATCAATTCTGCTCTGGGAATCAGATCATTGCTCTCTACATGCCACCACATTCCTCTCATCTTCTTCAGCCACTGGATGTTGGGTGCTTCTCCCCCTTGAAGACTGCATATGGACGACAGGTGGAGAATCAGATGCGGCTTGGGATCAATCATATTGACAAGGAGGAGTTTCTGGCCCTATATCCTGCAGCTCAGATGCAGGCTCTGACTGAGAACAACATCAAGAGCAGTTTCAGGGCAGCTGGGCTGGTTCCATACAATCCTGAGCAGGTTCTCTCGCGCCTTAATACCACAATGCATACCCCCACCCCACCTGGGACCTCTCATAGCTCTCAGGCCTCCTGGGCCACTGCTACACCACATAATATACACCAGCTAGAGCAGCAGACTAAGAAAGTTAAAGGATATATTAAGCACCGTACGCAGAGCCCACCCAGCCCAACTGATCGTGCCCTAAATCAGCTGGTCAAGGGATGTCAAATGGCAATGCATAGTGCTGCTATTCTAGCAGCTGAAAATAGGTAGTTAAGGGCTACAAATGCTAAACAAAAGAGAAAGCGAGAAAGAGGCCGTACATATGTAGCCCAAGAGGGAGCTTTGGGGGTGGAAGAAGGCTTGGATCGCGTACGAAGCATCAATGAATGGGAAAGAGGGGTGGTTGAGGCTGCTGAGTCCCAACCACGAAGACGTGCAGCACCACAGTGTAGTGTATGTGGGATTATTGGGCATACTGCCCGTACATGCTCTAAGCGTACAGGAAATAATTGATAATATCAGTTTGTTAATTTTGGGTTGTATTCAGGACTTGAAGAGCATTCTTGTTGTATGGCAGGTGGGAAGTGGCTCGCTTGCTTATGTGGCTCGCTCGCTTATCGATTACGTTATTAACTCCAGTAATTATATAATAACCAGGCAGTATTTATAAGAAAGAGAATGCTTGAATATATGATGAGAAGCAGTGCTGGTATATATCAGATCAGTGATCTGATTTTCAAAATTGAAATAATAAAAGATTCTTGTTAATATAATCATCAAAATACTAGATATGATATATCACTTCTCATATATCATCAAAATGATTGATATGATATATCACTTTTTATACATTGTTTCTTTCCTCATCTCAGTGAAAGGCTTCTCACTTTTCAATGTCAGTAAAAGAGTCAGACTGATTGAGAAAAGGCTTTCAGCAGTGAGACATAACTTAAAATGTCAGAGATACTGCCATCCATCAAAGTGTGCACAATTGAGGAGATGCTCCAACTGCAGTGAGCTCACAAGTCAGCATGAGAGGTCAATAGATGTGGAGTGCAAGAAGATGCTATAATGTGTCAACTGCTGTCAACGCTATTCAACTGAACATCAGCACTGCTCTGCTGCATTTAGACAAGTGAATGACATTCTCATATGTCTAATACAAAATGAGTTAGCAGGTGTTCAACAATTTGATGACAGATGTCACAGAAATTCTTGAAAGTGTAAACAAACATCAACACAGCCAGCATCAATGATTGCAGTAATGATGTCTACACTGTCTACACAGTCAACTCAATCAATGCAGTTCACAGAGCTAGCACTCTGCAAGCAGACAGCTACTCAGAGCTCACACCTATCTATGGGTGGTACAAAAAGGCAAGCATGGCTACACTCTCCCAGAACAGTCCGCTCTGCACCCCATCAAGGTCGGCCCGTTCTGCATAATTGAAAAAGTCGGCTCATTAGCCTATCGCCTGCAATTGCCTCCACGATTCCGCGGCATCCACCCAGTTATTTCCGTTATTCATTTAGAACCCTACATACCAGATGAGTTTGATCGACCACTGCCCGCCGGACCAGACCGCGTTGTGGATGGTAATGAATTTTGGGAAGTTGAAGAAATTGTGGATTCCCGCATACACCCAGAATCCCACAAGCAGCAATTAAAAGTGCAATGGAGTCATGGAGAAGAATCATGGGAAGAGCGCGATATTCTTATGCAAGATTGCCCTCAAATGGTATGCCACTGAGACAATACAAGACGTCGCGCCCGGCGTCAACGTCCTTAATATTTCCTACCTTGTATGTTATAAAATGTTGGGCACTAGTTGCCCAGGCGGCCCTCCACCGCACGTGATTACCCCTAACTATATAGTTAGCTAGCGATCGCACAATGAGAAGATCAACCATCCCACATAAAAAGCATGTATTTTTAGCTTATCTTGATATCGAGGACGATATCATTTTTTCTGTCAGGGGATGGTGTCACGTAGATGCGACCACATGTTATGCGTCATATGCGTAACCCTCAGCATGCCTGCGTATTCTGAAAACCGCTCACTTTTTCTATCCTTTTCTCATTCTTCTCCTAGCCATCCTACTTAGAAGAATCAACTATCTTTCAATTCTCTGATTATCTAATGTAATAGAATGATATCATCTGACAGACATCTCACATCAGACAATACTCAGTTTACACAGCAATGCAATAAACCAGTTAAATAGTTAAAAAACAATTCAATTTTAAAATGCAGATAGCAGATCTGAAATCTTTCAATCTCATTTTATAGATGAATTTTAACAACAGCTCATTAAATGACTTCTCATGCTAAAACATCAACATCAATAATGCAGTTGATACTGCAGAAACAATCAGTAAAAAAATCACTCTTTGCAAATTTTCTGAGCAAATACTGTCAGAGCATATCTCTATCACACAGCAGCTCTATAATTTATCTTTAAACAGAGATGTGAAGTGGTTTGCATACAGAAATCATACACATATTCTGATATTAAAATATAAAACTACTTAATATATGAGTGCTTCACATTTGTGAACTGTTAAAATGACATTATCTCAGAGCAGTGAGAGGAGGAGAGATTCTGAATCATAATATATATACATAAAAACTCAAATATAAAAGCACAGTAACATTAATCTATGCAGAGCAGAGATTTTCTGTGAATTAATATTAATGACTGCCACATTTTCAATATATAGAGACAATTTGATTATTATTATTATTCTTCTTCTATTATAGATGTATGCAGTAAGTGACTATAACATCTATCTGAAATATTCCAGGATTTTTCAACTTAAGAATAAGCTAATATACAAAGTCAATTTAATACATGCAATAGCAGAATTCCAGCCTATAATCAAACAATTATTCAAACTATTCAATTTAAGAAAGAATGTCAAAAGAATGACAACAGATCAATACATTCAATTCAAAACAAATGAAATAAATAGTATAAAAAACAGCAGCTATTAAAAGAAAAGAAAGCGTTCACAAATCAAACTTTTCAAAACAAATCAAAATTAAAAATAATCAAAATGAAATAAATTTCAAAGTAAAAGTAACAAAATAAAAATAAAAACAAAAACAAAAATTAAGGCAAATACATAGAAACAAAAGAAAAAAAAAAAAAAAAAAAAGGAAAATAAAAATTGAATTCATTATCAAATCAAGCTATTCAATTGAAATCTTATAGCAATATTTGATTCTTTCAAATATTCAATCAAGAATTCATTTCCAGTTTTCATATTAAACAAAAGTTTTAAATTTAACTGTCTCAATTCAAACTTCTCTTTCAATCTCAATCTGTAATGCACTCGTTTATTATTTCCTTATTATTATATTATCTTTGTTTATATCTTCGTCTATTCTTACCTCTTTCCATTATACTCTCGCTACCACTATTTCTCTATATATATATATATGGATGCATGTATTTCGCACATCTTCTTTCTCTTTCTTTTCCTCTTCAGCGATTAGCTACAACTACAACTACAACTTCAACTATACTACTACTATAATTATTATTATCTTCCACTACACTATATACTATCTTCTACTATTCACTCTTCACACTGTCATCACCCCTCACACAATCTTAACTTTATATGCTTTGTACAAAGTAAAAGAAGATGCTCTGAGTTGTCATATAACTGACAATCTGAACATAAGTCACTTAAATCATTTTTAATCTTTGTTAAATATGATTTAAAATAACCATGTTCAAGCTTTAGCTGCATTATTGTATCAAAAAGTTTCTTTTTATATTTTATTGAGCAAGCTTTCCATTTTGGCTTAGTTTCAAACCTGGAATAATGTACACTTTTTTTTTGTAAAAACCAGATATCTTGTCATTTTTGCAAATATAATTCTGTTATTTTTCTCTTAATAAAACCTCATGTTATAATTCTTTAAAAACAGACTTCCAATTTAGTTGCTTTTTTTGCAGCTTTATCAGCCATTTCATTGCCACATACACTCATGTCATTCTTACAAATACTTATGAACGTAGGGGTATATTTGAATTTCCCACTTTTCCAAATGTTTTTTGTATAATTGTAAGAGATAGGCTACTGTCACACCCTTGGTTGTGCCAAGGCCCCGTGACGGCTCCACACGGCCCATCGCTTCCCCTCAGATAATCCCATCTATCCCATAACGTCACGCAGGTGTCCGAACCGGTTTCCAACCACCCTATGACATCATTCGGATGCAATAGAAGAGGATCCGATTGATGAGATATGAGAATCCTGTTTCTATACGGGGTCTGGATTCCTTCTGGCAGATCAATGCAGCGCCACTGCGGAGTTGCTTCGGCTACCCTCGCTTATAGAGTGAGGGGAGGATGGCTGCCCGTTGTCTATATAGAATAGCTAGATGCTGGCTCTCTATTCCAGGAGCCAGCGATTCGTCTTTTATCTTTTGACAATAAGATACCAGAGTTACCACTGTCCTCATACAATATTCATAGTGTGCCGAGTACCTCTGGTAGTTCAGTATTTGTATAGTATTCTACGAGTTCGCGGTTCAAGCGAGATAATCAAGCCCACCCATAAGGCTTCCCATTATATACCATCCTCCTCTGTGCCGCTGCCGAGTAGCAATCGCCTCGGCGCCGTCACATTACAATTCGAATCGCTCGACCTGGTTACACGTTTGAATCAGTCGAGCTCTATTGATCGATATGGCCCCACGCACCCGTGCTGGGACTGCACCCTCTGGGGGAGCCTCCACGTCGTCCCCTAGAGCGCGTACACCTCTACCCCGGCAGGAATCTGAGATTCCTGAACCCGCCGCTCACCTTGGCATGGGCCCTCCAGCCGCCCTGCCACCGCCGCGGCCCCTACACTCCTATGTCTACCATGGAGATAAAGGGATCAAGGTTGGAGATCCGCCGAATTACAAGGGCAAGACGCTGTCTGAATTCCACAGCTTCACGAGAGCCCTTGAACGGAAATTCCGCCTTAACCTGAGCCAGTTTAATACTCATGAGGTACGAGTCATATACGCCGCGAGCCTCCTCGAAGGCACCACTGCAACTACATGGGCGACCAAGGAAAGGGAGCTTGAGCGTAGCAATGCTGCCATGACATGGGAAGAATTCAAGAACTTCCTTCTGGACCAGATTGAAGACCACCGTAACCGCGCCTTCACAGCGGCGCAGCGGTTCAACTCACTACGTCAACGAGACGACGAGAATCCTTCCGATTTCAATGCAAGATTCGAAGAATATTGGGAGGAACTGTCTGACGATTTGAATCTATTGAAAACGCAGCTTTACCTCGCGAAGCTGACTCATAAGGTGCGGACGACGATATCGCAATATCAAAGTCCGCCCACCAATCGCACCGAGCTTGTCAACCTGGCTTCTCGAATCTATTTGAATAATCAACACCATGAGAAGAAGGGGGACAAGACTCCCTCAAAGCAACCGACAACAGGATCAAAACGGCGCCATGACGGCTCCGGTGCGGATGATGCAAAGAAGAACTCAAAGCGTTCCAGTTCTTCACTTACTGCAAAGGAACGCCAAAATAGACTGGATAACAACCTTTGTTTTAACTGCGGAATCTCAGGCCATTTTGCCAGTGATTGCCGTAAGTCGAAGAAGGGAAGGAACCGAGGAGATACCTCCTCGAAGACGACTCCCCTTCTGGCAAATGTATCCACTGAAGATAAAAAGGAAAGACCCAAGGAGGATTGACAATCCTCACGACTCCGAGTCCATGTAACCTTGAAGATGAATACCCCATGAGGGGAGGTGCCAGTGAGGTGCCTAGTCGACTCCGAGGCGGACGCTAACTTCATATCTTATTCCTTTTCACTCATGAAGGGTTGGAAAAAGATAGGTCCGCCGGGCCACGCAAAGTTTACAGATGGAACAAAATGCCACCGATTCGGCATCATTCAAACAAAGTGTGAGGCCACGGACTCTGAAGGAACCTCCAAGGGGAGCAGTCTGCTCCTCCACGCTGTCAACATCATAGATGAGGACGTCATCCTAGGTCTCCCGTGGTTGAGAGAAAACAATCCTCTCATCGACTGGGTCACTCAGGCGTGGCGGTACCGCCTCACCGACGAAGAGGCAGCTATAGAGGAACCCGAAGAGTTCCATCGGAAGAATCTCGAGGATAAGATTGAGTCGATATACTGTGTAGCAGGTGACTTGGACTTGGAGGCAGGCGGAGAAGCCGCCACCCTCACTGCCAGATTAGCAGTGATGTCTGCCACTGAAGGCGGACGAACGCAACGTCTCTTCACAGATTACAAGGACGTTTTTTCAGAAAAGGAAGCAGCGAAGTTTCCTGATACCAAAGTGCGACATAAGATCCATCTTGAAGAGGGCGCGACAGCGCCGTACGGACCCCTTTACAATTTGTCAGTAAAGGAATGGACCAGCGGGGGCACTATACTATTCGTGCCCAAGAAGGACGGTAGGCTGCGCCTCTGCGTAGACTACAGGGGCCTCAATAAGGTGACGGTTAAGGATCGCTATCCACTACCATTAATTGATGAGATGATCGATCGATTATCCGGAGCAAGGGTGTTCTCGAAGATTGGCATACGGGACGCCTATCATAGAATAAGGGTTAACGAAAACGACATTTGGAAGACAGCTTTTCGTACCAAGTACGGCAATTTTGAATATCTCGTTTTGCCTTTTGGTCTTTGCAACGCTCCGGCCACCTTCCAGGCCTACATAAATGAGGCGCTGCGGGGCCTTGTCGATGTCTCCTGCATAGTATACTTGGACGACATCCTAATCTTCTCGAAAACGGAAAAAGAACATGATACCCACGTTCGGGAGGTGTTGGATCGCTTGAAGCAACACCAGCTCTATGCGAACACTGAGAAATGCTCGTTCTACACACAGGAGATTGATTTCTTAGGTTATATTGTTGGGGTTGATGGCATTTCAATGGACAGGAGCCGGGTCTCCGCCATCGAGGACTGGCCGGCGCCGCGCACGTACCGCGAGGTGCAGGTATTCCTAGGGTTCGCGAATTTCTATAGACGGTTCATCTATGCGTATTCGCGGATTGCTGCCCCCCTTACAGATTTGTTAAAGGGAAGTGTTAAAGGCAGGAAAACGGGACCGTTTATCCTTACCCAAGACGCTGTGAGGGCGTTTGAAGAATTGAAGCAAGCTTTTGCAGATGCCACGATGTTAAATCACTTCGACCCCGGCCTACCCAGTCAGTGTGAAACTGATGCATCTGGGAATGGTGTCTGCGGAATTTTTTCGCAGTTGACACCGGAGACTTTCCAACGTTGGAAGGATCGGGGGTTAATAACCTCTGGAGATACAGGCAATGGAATGCCTGTAGGAGAAGGCTTTTTCACAGAACCTACAAGGCGCCGTGAATGGAGACCAGTGGCCTTCTTCTCCAAGAAGCTATCGCTCACGCAAAGAAGGTATGATACTCATGATCAAGAGATGTTGGCAATAGTTGAATCCTTTAAGATTTGGCGACACTACCTTCAAGGTTGCAAGTATCCGGTGCAAGTTCTCACCGACCATGCAAATTTGCGTTACTTCTTGACAACAAAGAGCTTGACAGGACGTCAAGCCAGGTGGGCGGAGCTGCTTTCGGAGTATGATTTCTTTATCCGATACCGTCCAGGTCGGCTTAACCCCGCCGATGCGCCATCAAGGCGACCCGATTATGATATCGTTGATGGGGATGAGGATCCTACAAAGGGACCTCTACCATCACTGCAGAAGAAACTGGCTGCAGGGGGTTGGGGTTCTCTAAAGCTTGGGAACGGCGCCGGTAAGGCAGCTGCGCGACCCTATACAGGTGGAGGAGAACTCGGGTCCCCGCAGGGGACTGGCACTGAAGGTCATGAACTTCTCGTGCCACGTTTTGCTGCCATTGAATTGGCGGAAGACGAAACGGTCTACAACCTTCCAACCCAACGGCTTCTAGAATTCATTGGTGAGTTGCAGCAGGGGGACGCCCTTACTGCGGCTCGAATCCAGAAGTTGAAGGAGGAAGGATCCGGGTCGAACTTGGAAGGGGCAAGCCCTGAGCGGGGCGGTGCCGCCGAGGAACCAAGTCGCTGGCAACTAGGGGAATGTGGACTCCTACTGCTAAATGGTTCAGTCTTTGTCCCTCGTAGCAGGGCGGTGCGCCAGGAGTTATTGAGGATTCATCACGATGATCCCCATGCTGGGCACTTCGGATTAGAGAAGACTGAAGAGCTCCTGAGACGTAAGTACGTTTGGGACAAGCTTCGGACAGATGTCAAGGAGTATGTTGAAACTTGTGATGTCTGCCAGAGGATAAAGGTTCCGCGGCACAAGCAATATGGCGAGTTGGCGCCACTGCCTGTTCCAAAGGGCCCATGGCAGGATCTATCGATGGATTTCATAGTTGACCTGCCGAAGTCGACAAGAGTCAAAGGATATGACTCAATTCTAGTTATTGTCGACCGCTTTACGAAGATGGCCAAATATATCCCTACCCACAAGAAGGTTAAAGCCCCTGAATTGGCTAACCTGTTTCTAGATGCCATCATTCGTGATCACGGTTCTCCGAAATCGTTAGTGTCAGACCGAGGATCCCTTTTCACCAGTAAATACTGGTCGGCCTTTTGCTATCACCTTACGATAAGGCGCCTCCTCAGCACCGCGTTCCATCCTCAGACAGATGGCCAGACTGAACGTCAGAATCAGACATTAGAACACCATCTTCGGGCGTTCTGTTCATATCATCAGAATGACTGGCCTAGACACCTTCCGACCGCCGAATTCGCATATAACAATGCAAAGAATGCAACCTTAAAAGTGTCCCCCTTTTATGCTTGTTATGGGTATAATCCTTCATTACCTAGTGACGTCGCGGACGACGTCCTAAAGGGGGGGATAGACAGTCGGAATGTCGAACGGGATCGTGGGACAGAGTACCCCTCGGTGCCAGAAGTAAAAGCTAGATTGGAGCTTCTGGATAGAATCCACGGGGAGGCGGCGAAAAGCATCCGCCGCGCCCAGGAGCGACAGGCGGAATACTATAATCGAAAACACCTTCCAATGAAGTTCTCAATAGGGGATCAAGTGTTACTTTCAGCAAAGAACATCAAGACGACGAGACCGTGCAAGAAGCTCAGTGAGCGATGGTTGGGACCTTTCCCGATAATAAGGGTAGTGGGTAAGCAGGCATATGAGTTGAAACTAACCTCAGGATTCAAATCTATCCATCCTGTCTTCCACATTTCCTATTTGGAACCCTATAAGCAACGACCCGGGGCGGAGCCGCCTCGGCCGGATGGCGTCGAGATTGAGGGTAATACCGAATATCTTGTAGAAGGAATATTGGACAAACGAATGCACTACAACAAAGTTCAATACCTTGTCAAATGGGAAGGTTATCCATCATCCGAGAACTCATGGGAACCGCTTGAGCATTTAGAGAATGCCGAGGAAGAGATCGCAAAATATGAGGTGGCTAGTAGAGACCGCCCCGCTGCACGTCGGAGGTGTGGTTAGGCAAGAGCTGCTGCTTGAGACTTCTTCTTTTTCCCAAAGGGTTTTTTAGAGATGATCTCGCGGTGGTGAGCCGGTGCCTCGAAGACGCTGTAACACTCTTCTCCTATTTTTCCCTAGGGGTTTTTAGGAGTTTAATGAGGTTACGCAGCTCAAAGATCTCAGAGCGGTAGGAAGGAAAAAAGGGATATGAAGAACCAACAATTAATGCAATTTTATTTGGCCTGAGGGTCGCTATTATTCTATAAGGGCCGAAGCCCACGAAGATCGAAGAAAACACCTGAAGGCCTCATTCTTCCACCACCTCACCCCCACCGAACTCCTCCTCCACCGACGGAGTCCCTGGCACCGGCACCTTTGCCTGCCGTGGAGTTAGCGCTGCGGCGCCGCAGGGGGGTGTAGGAAAGTACAACAAAGTGTCAACTTACCAATTTGCAAAGCACCTCAGTCACCTGCTCCAATTGGAGCGAGATCCTCTCCAACAAACGATTTGTCTCCGTGGCGCTTCCAACGGCGGCGCCGGCCGACCCCTTCTTCTTAGGGCCGGCCATTCTGAAGTGTTTTTCCACCTCGGAGACCCACGCTTTCGCCTCCTTCTCCAGACGGGCCTTGGGAACCTCCCCAGAACGGACGGAATCCGCCAACGCCTGGAGATCCACAACTTTGGCCCTGTACTGCTTTGGCACCTATACGCCTTGTCAGAACCGGCACGGCGCCGTTACAGAAGGAGCAGTACGTACAGGAAGGCAGGTGTCGTTGTTTTTCACGCAACGGAAACAGCGTGAATGGGCGGAGGGGCGGGTGCAAAGGATCCCCCCTTCTCGAAGCTGCTTGGCGCAGCGAAGGCAGGTAGCGGTGCCAGCCAGGCGCCGCACCAGGGTTTCCCCACAAGGAGAAAGCAAAGGAACCATGGAACCCTGCGGACCCGACCCACAGGCACCCTGAGCAGGGCTCGGGCGCTCTGCAGGAGGGGAACTACGGACTGGACTCATTTGAGCCGCTGTCCCCGGAACCAAGCTCTCCCTGAGGTCCTCTCCGAACGACCATGCGGGGTCATACATCGCCCTGTTGATTGGCGGGGGGGGGCGGTGTGACAGCGGCAGGGGGGGAGGAGCAGAACCCCCACAGCTGCTAGGTGTCTCCGCCTCCGCCTCCAACCTGGCCCTTTTGGCCGCGACAGAGGCCGCAGCTGCACCACGTAGACGTTTTTTACCCACTAGAAAACATCAGAATAAGCCCCCTTACTGTCTTCCAAGGACGACGTTCCCATGCACTCACTATTGCAGACCAGGGGGGGGGAGAAAAAGAAGGACTGCGCATTCAGCAGAAGAATCACGTCGAATAAGACTCACCCATTCCTTTATGCCGCGCAGCGCGCGCGCTGCCAAAGCGGTTGGCAACCGTTGCTACACAACAAAGATAATTCCCAATCCGGTAATCTTGAGGCATCGGGACTATGCCTTTAAAGGGGAGGGCATTGTCACACCCTTGGTTGTGCCAAGGCCCCGTGACGGCTCCACACGGCCCATCGCTTCCCCTCAGATAATCCCATCTATCCCATAACGTCACGCAGGTGTCCGAACCGGTTTCCAACCACCCTATGACATCATTCGGATGCAATAGAAGAGGATCCGATTGATGAGATATGAGAATCCTGTTTCTATACGGGGTCTGGATTCCTTCTGGCAGATCAATGCAGCGCCACTGCGGAGTTGCTTCGGCTACCCTCGCTTATAGAGTGAGGGGAGGATGGCTGCCCGTTGTCTATATAGAATAGCTAGATGCTGGCTCTCTATTCCAGGAGCCAGCGATTCGTCTTTTATCTTTTGACAATAAGATACCAGAGTTACCACTGTCCTCATACAATATTCATAGTGTGCCGAGTACCTCTGGTAGTTCAGTATTTGTATAGTATTCTACGAGTTCGCGGTTCAAGCGAGATAATCAAGCCCACCCATAAGGCTTCCCATTATATACCATCCTCCTCTGTGCCGCTGCCGAGTAGCAATCGCCTCGGCGCCGTCACATTACAGCTACAAGAGTAATTACAAGAGTAGTGTGAAGTACGCACAAAGGATATTAAGAAGGTAGCAATCTCTATTGTTCAAAGCTAATCGCTGATCTCCTAAAATCCACGGATATCAGCGAGCATTATATAGATAATATTGCCATCGCCACGTATCTAACGCCACGTATCTATTTCCTAATATAGATATCTCCGTTGCGCCTATTACAATAATTCTAACCCTTCAACCTGTTCAACATCATCACACACCCTCTGCAATTACTCTATGTATGTATACTGCACAGGTTGAGTGGTCATGGAGATCACAACGCCCTCCCATCCGCCCAAGGACATCGATATGACCTACATGAGGCCACTGAAGCCAGAGCCACTGGTCAATTTTGTTATTGAGAAGACTGGTAAAAGGCAGAGAAAGACTGTCATAATGTCTTCTTCAATTCTCAAAGAAGTCAGTGACAGCATCTTCACAGCCATCTCTCAATTGTAGAAGCAGTTTGAAAAGGCTCAGCAACAACAAAATCTGCAGCAAAAAGCTTTCATCAGATTCATAAGAACTCTGAATAACTAAGTTGAAGAGAAAAAACAATCTACCAATCAGAGCTTTGCTTAAATTTTCTGTGAAAGGTTTATTAAATATGTGACAGCAGATTTGAGTGCAGCATCTGCTTTGAGAAAAGATGCTGATTTAGATACTCATCTGCAATCAAACACAGCAAAGACAACTGCAAGGGAGCTGACTATCTGAATGAGTGTTGTTTAGAGAGGAAAAACTCTGCTCTCTCTGAAGTTACCTCTGTCAAGATTACAGCTCTCTCAACAGGCAGGATTAGTGGAGTCAATCTGCAACTCAAAAACATCAGTCAGTCAAGAGACTCAACAGAGGGCACAAAACAGTAGAAGAATTCATGAGTTCTCATCACTCTTCAATTAGAGAAACAGATCACCCAACTGCAGCTGTACACTATGCAGCAGACAATTATTGCAAAAATTCAGAGAGTGGAAGATGTGGTCAATGTGTCAAAAATGAAGCTCATCAGAACAGACTGAGTAATCACATCAAACAACAAAGACATATATGATATTTTGATCATTGAAAAAGCAGTGGCTACTCTCTGTGAAGTTCTTGACACCACAGAGATTCAGCTACTGAAGTGATGGTACAATTATGCCATTCTAAAGATTCTGGAATTTGTCTAGAATTGAAAAGGTGTGAGTATCCCCACAGATAAGATGATTGAAAGAGAGATTCTGACTCAGACAAAGATAAAGTCAGTGAGCTGTCAACCCTTATGACATGGAGTGAATTTCAAGACAGAGAAGATTATATGAATTGTCTACTTCCTCACCTCAATGAAAGGCTACTCACTTTTCAATGTCAGTGAGGGGGCCAGGTTGATTGAGAAAAGGCTGTCAGTAATAAGATATAACTCAGAATGTTAGAGATACTGCCATTCATCAAAGTGTGCACAACTGCCAAGATGCTTCAACTGCAGCGAGCCCACAAGCCAGTATGAGAGGCCAACAGATGTGAAGTGCAGAAGAGCGCCACATTGTGTCAATTATTGTCAACTCTACTCAGCTGATGTGAGGGGTGATGACAGTATGAAGAGTGAATAATAGAAGATAATAGTAATAATAATTATAGTAATAGTGTAGTTGAAGTTGTAGCTAATCGCTGAAGAGGAAAAGAAAGAGAAAGAAGATGGGCGAAATACATACATTCATATATATACATATAGAAATAGTGGTAGCGAGAGTATAATGGAAAGAGGTAAGAATAGACGAAGATATAAACAAAGATAATAATAAGGAAATAATAAACGAGTGCATTACAGCAAACCTCATAGAAGGAGCTGTGAGGCACTTCATCAAACAATTGCAGACAAAGTATCGCATAATAACACTTTATCACCCTTGTACAAATGAAAAAGTTGAATGCATAAATGAAATACTAGGCAGCATGCTGATGAAATATTTAGTGGGGAAGCTTACAAGATTATGGGATGAATATCTGGGACAGGCATTATTCACAATGTGAGTTCGCCAGCATGTAGTCTCAAAGCACTCGCCGTTCTACCTGCTCTATGGGGTGCATCCGCGTATCCCGGGGGATATGCAAAACCAGATAGGGGAGGAGGTAGTGGTTGTAGATGTGGAATTAAGAATGAGAAAAGTTAACCACACCTGAGTAAAGGCAAACGAATTACTACTCAACCGCGCCATACAATTGAAAAGAATATGAGACTCATTAATGAAAGAAATAAGTCTCACTGTGGGCACTTGAATCCTCATATGAAATGAAGGATCTGAGAAGTTCCAACCAAGGTGGTTTGAGCCGTACAAAATCCTCAAATCACACCCCCTTGGAACATATACTTTAAAGAAGTCAGGGGGACAGGTTCTACACAATCTTATAAATGGCTCTCATCTTGTAAAGGTGAAGATAGAGGATTTCAATGAGCTGTGATCATCTGCAGCACTATCATCAGCATTGAAGAAAAGAGAGCTTACAATAAAGAAGCTCAGAAAAGTGAGGGAAATCATCAATGCTTACAAATCAGATGATATCACTTACTCAGACCTCTCAACAATAACCAAAAAAAAAAGGGAGGAAATGGAAAAGGCGGGCATACAGCACACCCTGATAAATGATGAAACTGTTGCTGGTTGTACGAAATTGCAACGTAGACACCAGGTGCAACACAGTCAGAGGCGAATTCAAGACAGCTGATCAGCACATGAATCGGGTTGCAAGAAACAAAGAGATTTAGAGGAGGATTCAACTGTTTATATTAGCTCAATCACAGAGACTTCAGAGGATGAACTGTTAGAAACATCAGAAAACACATTGAAGCAAGCTATTTCAGCATCTGAGAACATTCAGAGATTGAGCAAAATTAGTTTTGATGAATCATTCACTGTAATTGTCTGAGCTTGTGAAGGGAAACAGTATAATACACAAAGGCAGAATGCTCTCATTGAAAAATATGAGATCTGCTGCATCTAGTCATCAAGCGTAGAACTGATAAAAGGTCACATAAGAGTAATGACAAAAAAAGGAAAAAAAAAAGAAAAAAAAAAGAAAGAGAAATCAGGAAAAAGATCTATTCATGCACAGCTTTAATAACCACTGCAAGAGCTTCATCTGATTTTTAAAAATACAGAGATATCATAAAAATAAAGAAAGAGCACATGTCAATAAAATGCTCAAACCCAACACTCTCAAGAATTATCAGTACAGGATGAAAATCAAAATTCAACCTGCATCAAGAACCTTAGAATCTCAAGACATGCATGAAGAAGTGCAGTACACACCTCTGCCTTGTGAAGAGCTTGACATACCAATTCAAAGTCTTCAATAGAGAGATTCACAGAAAGCTCAATAAAACAATGAGAATGCACACACAGAGAAAAACCAATCAGAGCAAAGGAGGATGAAGCAGAAGTGAGCAAGACAATGAAATGAGTATAGATGATGAACACTCATTCAACAGAAGATAAAGAAAGAATTGATGGAAATGAAAGAAATGAAATCAATGAAAGCAGAGAAAGCAGAGATGTGAATAAAGACAATACAGAAATATCAATCATCTCATTATTTTTATGAATGCTGCTATTATTATTCACATTCTCATCAACTCCTTCACCTGCCTTCTTGTTGTTCAAGACATCCACATGATCATCATCACCGGCGACTTCCTCAACAGAAGTGAGATTGTGGGTAGAAGGGAGAAGAGAAGCTGAGATGATTCATCAGCAAGTCATTCAATTAACAATCAAATTAACTTTTGACAAGGTTTGGTTGATGAAAGCTTACCAGCAGATCGCTCAACGCGACTGGAGTGATGGGAACTGCAACAGCCAGGTGCCATATTGTAGGAGGAGGGGACTAGACAGTTCAATAGATGGATAGAAATGTAGAATGATTGAAATCAGTGAGTGGGTGAATGGGATAAAATAGTTGCGAACGTGGCGTTGATTAGTGATGGGACGCCGTGTTGTGATAGGGGATTCGGGGGCGCGCGAAACAAGGGCGCCTTACCGTTTTTGGTTAGAACGTACGATCACAACGAGGGCTTGGCGAATGCCGCGCTACAAACACTTCAGGAATAGCGCGTTGCGAAGGCAGGCGCGCACGGCAGATCTGTTACCGTCACGAGGGCGTAGATGGATTTGGTAGGGGAGGATGTAGTAATTTCGGCTTATTATTCTTCCGTGGCGTACGCCACCCCCTATTATCAAGGATGGCGTACGCTACCGCACTAGTTAATTCGTATAAGAAGGGCTGCAAAGCTTAGAAGCTTTGAACAGCTCAAGCAATCTTTGAATCACACAATGATGACTCTGAAGAAGATTAAAATGCACTTTGCAACAAGACTTCAGATGGTGAATGAGAGGCATTCACTGATTTCAAAAATAACATCATCAATGATTATATGAAGAAGAGGAGCTGGCTTTTGACAGTTTTTAAAGATCAAGATTCAGTGGTTGAAAAAGCTACTGCTCACAGTCAATAAACTCATACTTGCTGCTTCACACTACTCAGAGAGGTGTGGGACAGACCTCACAGAGGGTGTTGACAAAGAGAGTACTGCTCAAACATTTAAAAAATAATGGAAAAGCCAGCTCTCAACAGATCTATATATCTTTTCAGATGGATCAAAGCAGAGCTTCAACAACATCAAATAAATGAGTTATGACTTTATGATCTATCAGAGAGACAAGCAATTGATCAGCTTCTCAACAACACTGAACTCTATATCACATATCTTCAATGCTGAGATGGTTGATGTCTATCAGACACTGAAGTGTGCAGTAAAACTCCTCTCTTATGTCATGAATAGCAGCATCAACTCTCAAATCTGACTCTGTTTTGATAATACTTTAATCATCTGAGGCATACAGAGCAACATAGCAACTGTAAGAGATGGGCTACAAGAGTAATTACAAGAGTAGTGTGAAGTACGCACAAAGGATATTAGAAAGGTAGCAATCTCTATTGTTCAAAGCTAATCGCTGATCTCCTAAAATCCACGGATATCAGCGAGCATTATATAGATAATATTGCTATCGCCACGTATCTATCGCCACGTATCTATCGCCACGTATCTATTTCCTAATATAGATATCTCCGTTGCTCCTATTACAATTATCTCCCTTCTTCAAAGGCCTGGTCCCCAGGGCTTCTTATTGTGCGAAGTTCGTAATATGTGCTGCGTGGTTGATATTGTATAAAGTTCGCAGGATAGGACCGAATTAATTGTTCGGGTTAATTCCGAAGCGTTGCTGACTCGGGAAAAACGTTGTTCCAGTTTCGGTGTTATCGCGGTCCAATCATGATTTAGGCACAACCCCTGAACCCCTTTCCTTTAACCTTTACACCACAAGTCGTATCCTAACGAGATCATCACCATCATCACTAACAACGATTTTTTTTATTTAAAAGAATACACCAATTTATCAAGCAAAGTACGCTGTATCTTCCCATGCGATTTTTATTGCGACATTCGAAGTTTTGGTTGCGTGGTTGCGTTTTCTATTTTGGGTCGGATTTTGTGTTGCTGCAACTTCTTTGATCGATATTGCAATATTGGTTTTATCCACCAACATCTGTTCTTTTCTTGCTGCTTCTTGCCTCTTCTCTCTTCTTAAAAGGTTCTTGATACTGATTAATGTCGTAATAGAATGTCAGAACCAGCTGCTTCCGTTGCCGGTTCAGAACCTATGGAGGGTGATATGCTGAATGCCATCGAGAGCATTTGCTTGGGTTGTCTGGAAAGGTTGCAAAACCCTCCAGTATACCCTTGCTTTGTGAACGACGGGCGGACACGCTGTCACGCCTGCCATATATCGAATACTGGGCAAGGATCTTGGTGCGTTACTTGAGTTATCCGATAACGCTGGCGAAGATGAGGAAGCGGACGGTCCCGTTGAAGTGTTAGAAAGGAACGCAGCAGCATATTGCTGTCGTTGTATTCGACATTTAACAACGTCTCCCCGCCATCACTGTGAGCCTGCTGAGGGTCGACGCAAGAAATGCAAGCACTGCTCGGTGATGAAGCACGTTTGCGTTCCGGTAAGTAATCGTTCTATATATGTTTTGCAGGATATAAAATAACTCATGTTTGGTGCCAGCAGACGCCGTTGAGTTGGCCCAGGCGGCTATTAACGCAGCTGAGGATTTAATTGTCGCTGGTGCAGACGCTTCGAACGTTAACGTTTTACAGGGCGCTGTGGCAGCTGCAGTTAAGTTCTTCGCAGCGAAGATCCGTGGGGCTCAACGAAATGGTTCCCCTGAGGCCCCGGCTGAAACAGTGATTGGTGAGATCCCGGTGGCTAGCTACATCGCCGGTCGCAGCTCCCAAGTCATCGTTGAAACGTCGTGCTTCGCCAGTTGAGGAAATCCGGGGTAATAAGCAGGTCTGCCTTGGTGACCATTCCTCAAATGACACTGGCCAAGCTGAGGCGGATCTGTTTTTTAATCCCTGGGTGGAATAAGTATGTTTAACAGTCAACGTCGCCTTCTTCGTTTTCGTTTGCTAACTGGCTCCTGATAGGTTTTATTAAACTGTTCCAAGTGCTCCTGGCTGTTCACCAAATTTTCTTCAGGTTCCCAAGAATTATCCGTGTCTGTGCAATCCTTCCATTTAACAAGATATTGGGTTTGACCACGGTACTGACGTTTATCCAATATAGCTTCAACTTCCCATTCCTCCTGCGCGTCTATAATTATCGGTTCTGCCTGTGGGATCTGTCCGTCGCGCGCGTGATACGGTTCGAGAAGGGAAACGTGGAACACGGGATGAATTCCTTTATATTGTGGCGTAAGCTTCAGTTTGTACGCCTGCGTACCGCGTATATCAATTATTTGGAAGGGACCCAAAAATCGATGATCTAGTTTGGGTGAAGGTCGCAAGGTGGATATATTTTTTGCACGCAGCATTACCCAGTCCCCTATATTAAAGCTTTTTGGTATATGGCGCTGATCATAATACTTTTTCTCAGCTGCTTTGGCAGCTTCTAGGCATTCTCGAATCCTGTTTTCCGCTTGCTTCATCCGTTCCACTTGTTCTATCGCCGACTTTGACGCGCCCGTGCTTGGGGGTTCCACGTCTATACGAAGTTCAGTTGGTCGGCCGATCATCGCTTCAGATGGTGTCATTTTTATCGATGCGTGGAAGGCGTTATTATATGCCCATTGCGCCAGGGGAATCCACTCTATCCAGTTATCCTGCTGGTAGCTGCAATATGTGCGAAGATAATGTTCAATCACCTGGTTCAATCGTTCCGTTTGGCCGTCGGTTTGCGGATGGAAGGCTGTTGATAATTTTCGTCGGACATGGAGTAAGTAACATAATGTTGACCAGAACTTGCTGTTTATTAATGAATCTCGGTCGCTAATAATGTTCGCAGGTAGGCCCAAAGTTTTTCGCAAGCTTCCATACAATAATGTCCGCGAGTCCTTCCGCATCTAGCTTTGAAGATGTGGGTACAATTATGGCCCATTTAGTGAACGAATCAACAAATATGACAATAGCATTATAAGTTTGACTTCCCTTCTTATTATCTGGTAGGCCTTCAATAAAGTCCATACTGATTGTATGCCATTTCTTATCTGGCACTGGATGTGGTTGTAGCAACCCGTACGGCTTATGCCGCGGTATCTTGACGCGTTGGCAAACATCGCAGGTCCTCACATATTCTGCAATCTCATCGCTCATACCATGCCACGAGTACTTGCGTTTGATCGCTTCGATGGTTTTGTCACGTCCAAAATGGCCACCTTGGGGATCATCGTGGTTCATTTTCATTATTTCATGCCTTACGGCCTTGTCTTGCGGTACGTAGACTTTACCATCTTTCCTGAGCAGGCCATCTTTGTCTACTGCCCAGGTCGAACGATCACCTACGCTAGCGTCACCCACCTCTAGTCTTCTGCGAAGTTCAGACGTGCCAGCGTCCCTATTCTGAACCTGCAGCAAGAGTTCGACAATAGATTCAGCTACCTCTTCGCGATAGGCTATCTCGGACTCAAATACCTTAACGGCTAGAATCCGTGGCACCAGGGTCCCTAGGTCTAACCCCGTAACGCCGGCGACTTCGTTCTCATCTGCAGGTGCGTTCTTTATCCTGCAGGGTTTGTTGTCATCGATGACTACGGGCCCCTTCGCCCAACAATTTTCTTTAACTTGCAGATTTTTTCGCACCATCTTGACACATTGGTCTAACTTTGTGTTTTCTTTTGTCTTTAGTGACTTAAAGATCCCCTTACGCAGCTTCTCTTGCAGGGTAGGGAGCCCCGTCAAGGGAGCTGCGTGTTTTATATAATCTGAGTGACGACTTGGTGCATCTGCGGGATTATTTTCCCCAGGATGGTGCTCAATTTCAAAATCGAACGCTGAGAGCATTTGCATCCAACGAATCTGACGCCCATTTAGCTGCTTCGTCGTCATGAAGCGCCGGAGGTTGGCATGGTCAGATAAAACAACTATTGGGTGCCTGCTACCATGTAGGTAGTGGCGCCATTGCCTGAAAGCTTCTACAATCGGCAACATTTCTAAATCATATGTTTGATAATGTCTTTCTGCTTCTGTGAGTTTTCTGGACCAAAACGCGATCGGGTGCCAGTGACCATCATCCATTAATTGCGATATTACTGCGGCGATTGCAACGCCAGATCCGTCCGTTTCTATACGGAGTTTTCGCTGCGGATCAAAATGAACTAACAACGGTGCTTTTGTAAAGCATTCTTTTAACTGCAGTATTGCGTGCTTGCAGTTCTCGTTCAGTTGGACAGGTGCGTTGTTCTTCCCCTTTTTTGTTTCGTATCCTTTTAGCAACTCAGTCAGGGGTGCCGTTATTATCGAGAACTTGTATATGAATCGTCGGTAGAAGTTGGCGAATCCTAGGAATGTTTGCAGCTCGTTTATTGTTCGCGGTTCAGGCCAATCTAGGATCGTATCGACGCGGCGTTTTTCGACAGTGATGCCCTGCGTGGTAATCACAAAACCCAGAAATCCAATTTCTGTTGCATGGAACGTACACTTACTAAGTTTCACATATAGTCTCCATCGCCTTAAACGTTCCAGCACATTCTTAACATGGGCGACGTGTTCGTCAAGCGTATTCGAATAGATTACGATATCGTCAAGATAAGCTACGCAATATACGTCCAAAATATCACTGAGGGCTTTGTTGATATAAGATTGGAAAGTCGCAGGGGCGTTGGTTAGCCCAAAGGGTAAAACCAGATACTCAAAGTGTCCGTATCGTGTTCGAAATGCCGTTTTCCATTCATCCCCCGCTCGTATGCGGATTCTATGATACGCGTCCCTAAGATCCAATTGCGTGTATATTTTGGCACCTGCTAATCTATCGAGTATTTCACTTATCAGGGGCAGCGGATACCGATTCTTGACTGTTATTTCGTTCAACCCTCGATAATCTACGCAAAGACGCAGGGTTCCGTCTTTCTTCGGTGCGAATAATACTGGCGCACCGGCTGGGCTCTTGGACGGGCGTATCCAATTCTTCTCTAATGCCTTTTCAATATATTCTCGGAGGACGGAGAGTTCTTGAGGTGACAGGTTATATATCGGTCGGTACGGTGGTTCCTTGCCAGGTTTGAGATCTATGGCATGATCGTGGGGTGCGTGTTCCGCGTCAGGTATATCTTCTCGGAATACATCAAGATAATCCTTATAATCATCCGGGATATTTGGCTCAGTCGCTGCGTGCGCAGCTCGCAATGGAAAGGCGGCGAATATAATGTTGCTGTTGTCCATTAAAGTTGCAAATTCCTTAGCGGTATCTAGGTGCACGTGGCTAATATTTGACGCTTTCCTATAGGTCCAGCATCTTCGCACCCAGTCAATGTCGGGGTTCGCAGCTTGCAACCATGGCATACCCAGAATTACATCGTATCCACTGATGTCGGCTTCTTCGAAATGGTGGAATCCTTCCCGAAGGACATGTTCATCATCGATAATCTTCATTGCAGCTTTTCGTTGTCCATATGATTTAACCCTATGATTATCAACTGCTTCCACTACTTTCGGTTTACCTTCTGACTTCGAGAAATATTTCAATGCCCAAGCATGGGACACGAAGTTCGCATCCGCGCCAGAATCTACTAACGTCCACGCCATTGACCATCCCACTTCTGTCAACATCCAGGTGTTCATTGCCAATAAGTGTTTATCTCGCAGCCTAGTCGTCTGTATTCCCAATGCAGCAGCTGCTCCTACGATTGGGATTGCTAGTTTTTTGCTTGTCGGACTTGGTTGCGCTTTTCGGGGTATAACATCCAACAATCGTTTGCGACATGCCCCTTCTTATGGCAGTGTGAGCACTCCTTCATCCAATTATATTTATCCTTCTTGGTTTGTTCAGTTGAACCCGTCTGTTCCTCTCGTTTCCTTTTATTCCGGTGGTTGCTAGATTTATCAGAACGACGCTGATTCCCTACGAATATCGCAGGTCTGCCTTTGCGAATGGCGCGTCGTCGCTCCGGCATATTTTCCTCGAGAGTCTGTAGAGTTCGAAGCAACTCTTCGTAGTTCTGGGGTTCTTGATTTCGACGGTCGAGTTCGGTGCGTAGCACCTTCAATGCCTTACTACGCAGGTTATCCATTCTCTGTTCCTCGCTGTATGGGGGTAAGTAATACTCCCAATCTTCGAGATATTTAGAAAAGTCGCGTATCGACTGCCACTCCTGTTGCTTAGCATCCTGGAATCTTTGGCTCGCCAATCGACGCTGATTCTGCGGGTCGTTAATTTGCATCTCTAGGTGTGATAGCATATCGTCGAATGTTAACGGTGTTGCTCCTCCGCGTCTCTCGTATGCTGATACAAAATTCAACCACTTCTGCTTAACGTGGGCATCAAGGTAGAGTTTGGCGTCGTTTATCTTGCGTTCTTCTTTTCGATAATATCGACGGTGGCGTGCAAAGAGAGTCAACATGCGATCTTTATAGTCCTTAAATTCTAACATATTCTTTCCTCGATAGTAATCCTTAATCTCCAATTTCGGCGGTGTTTCGTTATCATCATCCATATTGTCTGCGGGTCGATTTTGCGGTAGTTCTGCGGCGATATCCTGGGTTGGTCGGGACTCGATAAAAGTATCTTCGCGAATCTGTGCTTCCAACTCGTTGAGGCGTTGTTGCGCGTGCAGAATAGCTAACTGTTGCTCTCGTTCACGGATTTGATCGTTTAACTGTTGCAATCGGGCATTGTGGTCGTCGGAGGTGGTAGAGGATTCGGGTTGGTTCCCAAGGGATCTTGCGCGTGTCGAAACCATCTTGCGTGTTTTAACTAACGTTGCGTGTTTTGTTGTAGGTGTGCGTAACAACGGACCACTCAAATAAGGTTTAGAGCGATTAGAATTGTAAGAGATGGGCTACAAGAGTAATTACAAGAGTAGTGTGAAGTACGCACAAAGGATATTAGAAAGGTAGCAATCTCTATTGTTCAAAGCTAATCGCTGATCTCCTAAAATCCACGGATATCAGCGAGCATTATATAGATAATATTGCTATCGCCACGTATCTATCGCCACGTATCTATCGCCACGTATCTATTTCCTAATATAGATATCTCCGTTGCTCCTATTACAGCAACCTCCTCATGCCGAGCGTTCAACCACTGTCATAAGCTTTTCAGACAGCACAATGTAGGCCTGAAATGATCTCCAGAGCATATGAAGATAGAAAGCAATGAGGAAGCAAACCATCTGACTAAATGTGCAGTCTCATCAACAACAGTCTCAGCCTATAAGCCTGAAACCACACCCACAGTCAGCGGGATCTGCACAGTGGTCAAGCAGCTCAGTCAGAAGGCAAGGCAGAAGTGATGAAATGAAATGTATAACAAATTCTCTAACTGATATTGAGACTGAAGGCCCAGCAGATCATCAGTGAAGTATCAGATTAAAGCCTCATCAAAGCTCACCATATTGCAGCATGCTCTCCACCACTGACTCACACTTCACTCCTCTTAATGGTGGAAAAGTCAACCCTCAACAGATCTATATGTTTTCTCAGATGGATCAGAACGGAGCCTTGACAACAGCAGGCAGGTGGGCTATGGCTTCATAGTCTATCAGGGAAATAAACAGCTGGCCAGCTTCTCAGCTGCGCTGAGCCCTATGTCACATGTCTTCGACGCTGAGGCAGTTGGTGCCTGCCGGGCATTAGAGTGCGCTGTGAAGCTCCTACCTTGTGTCACAGAGGACAGCAGCAACCCTCAGATCTGGCTCTGCCTCGACAACACCTCAGTCATCTGGGGCATACGGGGCGGTGCAGCAGCCTCCTCAAACTGGGCCTACAACCGCTGCCATGAGCTCCTCAGACAGCACAATGTCGGCCTGAAGTGGGCTCCTGGGCATATGGGGATAGAGGGCAATGAGGAAGCAGACCGCTTGGCTAAGCGGGCAGTCTCATCCACTGCAGCCCCAGCCTATGGTCTCGAGGCCACACCCACAGTCAGTGGGGTCCGCACAGTGGCCAAGCAGCTCAGCCAAGAGGCAAGGCGAAAGTGGTGGAGTGGAGCCTGTGGCAAGCTCTCTGACTGGTACCGGGGCTGGAGTTTCAGCAGGCCGACTGTGGAATACCAAGTGAAGGCCCCTCCGGAGCTCACCATGCCACGGCATGCCCTTCACCGCTGGCTCGCACTCTGCTCCTCTCATGGGGACTTCTCCTGGTACCACAGGCGTTTCCAGCATGCAGATGCGAGGCTCACCTGTGTCTGTGGACACAACAAGAGCCCAGAACATTTGGTGCTCTGTCGACACTCACAGAGGCACTTTCTTCACTGGCCCAAGAGGCCAGCAGCACGGCCACACAACCGGGCGACAGCTGTTGCCTATCTAGGGTCTCTGACCCCTACAGACTTTGTAGAACTGCTGGACTGCACGCAGTTCTACACACGGTACTGCACAAGGTAACGCAGCCGGCTGGCTGCAAACCATCTGACAACCCCCGCAGCAGTTCCACGAGGCCGGCCTGCTGAGTACACCCACGGTAGCTAGTGCAACTGCCAGGGACATCACAGTCTATGCAGACAGTACAGATAGCACAACTAGGCTCATCTGTCTCAATTAGCTGTGGTGTAATCAGTACAGTCTACGTGTCTGACTCAGCTGATATGGTTTTGACTGCCGGCATTGTATCTACGCGTGCTCTGCTTTGTTTTCCTCTCGTTTGCCCTTGTCTCTATCGGCTCAAATGCTTCTTCTTCCTTCTTTTCTTTGCTCTCTCTGTCATTCTCTGCTCTTTTCCTGTCACAACCTTCTTCAGTGCTCTCTCCTTCATTATTTATCTTGTCTGTCTTTCTTCTGATGTTAGAAGCACAGACAGCTTTCTGATCAACTGAGAGAGGTATCCCTCTCTGCTCACTATAAAGCCTTCCAGGCACGGCAGCGGCGGTCCCCTCAGGGAACCACACTATAGCCCCACCATGAATGGCCATACGTCGGGCCAGAAGTGGATGCGCAGCTCAGAAAAATCCTTTGCAATGAGCTGAGTCTTCTCAAGAGTTGCCACCTGGATTCTGTTTTCTCTCTCTCTTTGTGTACATAGAAATCTCTCCAGCGTAGCACGTCTCCATGCCCTTCGGGAGGCTTCTGAAACACGGGCGCTGCCCGTGTTTTCTCCGGGACGTTAAACCTATACATACATACATACATACATGCATAGAAAGATAATAATGTGGTTTTACTACTGTTTACAGTTCATAAATCAGATAGCTTCATTGAATGTATTCAGAAATGTTCTGAGATCAATTCCATCAACAGCCTGCAGATTCAACATTTATTTAATGATAAATTTGAACAAACTATAAAGATTTCTACCATTATTGATGATTATAATCATTATATGAATGGGATTGATCTAGCAAATCAGTATAGAGCGTTCTATGAGACTCATATGCTCATCAATCACATATGATTGGCAATTCTATACTGGATTATTGACCATGCTATTGTTAATGCTTATATTTTTGATAGATTAGCTACTACTGACATTACTGCTAACACTGGCACTGACATTGCTCTATCTCATACTCAATTCCATCAACAACTTTATCTTCATCTCTTTGAATTCTCAAGTTCTCTACCCTCAACTTAATCAAATTTATATATTAATCATCATCAAATTCCTCTGCCAAAATCTCAAACTTGTACCTGATGTCAGTATAAAAAAAAGAGAACAGAGTAGAATAAAAATAGAGTTTCAAGATCAAGATATAATTATGCTGCATGTAATAATATTCCTCTCTGTCTGAAAAGTCAGTGTTGGCAGGAGTTCCATTCTAATAATTAATTAGAGTTAGATCTAATAGATTACATAAATTACATTAAAACATCAATACAGCTAATCTCTCATATAATCCAGTAGTTTTCATGTATTTAATACACTAAGATACGCGCTAAAAAACCGCGCTAATTGTGCCTCGCCCTCAGATGAGGAGATATTCAACCCTCTGTAATCATCAAATCTTGCTTAGCTTAGCACTAATGACAGGGGAGATGCTTGGCATTAATGAGAGCGGCTTCCAGCGGCCACCAGAAGTGGCTCAAAATGTCAGCAGCAGGATTCGAATCTACAGCACATCTAACAGTGCTACCTTGAGTAACAATTTTATCAACTGCGCCACGCGGGTCAGAACGGAAGTATTTATATAAAGAAATAATTAAATGATATTAAATTATTATTATAATTATTATTTTATTATAATATAATATGCAGTCAGTGATTATGACATCAGTTTGAAATACTTTAAAATTTTTCAAATCAAGAATAATCTAATTTACAAAAATAATTTGACACATACATTAACAGAACTTCAACTCAATATCAAACAATTATACAAACTGTTCAATTAATGAAAATAAAATCAAAAGAAAATCAATGAATTAACACAATTCAATTTCAAAATAGATGAAATAAACATTATAAAAAACAGAAATTATTAAACAACAAAAGAAAAGAAAGATTATACTATTATGATTATTAAAAAATAAATTAAACTTTTCAAAATAAATCAAAACTAATGATAAATTAAAGCAAAATTAAAAAAAAAAAAAAACTAAAAGAAACTCATATTCAAATTTTAATTGTATTATTATAATAAAAAAATTTCTTTTTATATTTTATTGAATATGATTTTTATTTTGATTTAATGTCAAATTTGAAGTAATGTATATTTTTTTCTTTATATAAATCAAATATCTTATCATTTTTATAAATATGATTTTTTAATTTTTCATTTAATAAAAGATCATATTATAATTTTTTAAAAACAGATTTTTAATTTAATAATTTTTTTTACAGTTTTATCAGTTATTTCATTGTTATACATATTTATATAAATAGATACTTAATAACAATAAATAAAATAATTAAATGAAATTTTCTTTTAAATACTCTGAAGACTTTTCAAAATAATTTTAATATTAATGTAATGCACTTGCTTATGTACTCGCTTATCATTTCCTTCTATTTATCTTCATTTATTATTGCCTTTTATTATGTTCTCGCTACCACTATTTCCATATATGTATATATACATCTGCATGTACTTCACACATCTTCGTTTCTCTTTTCTTTTTTAGTGATTAGCTACTACTACTACTACTTGTAAGAAACCGGCACTAAGATGTCAGTGCTAGGCCGGAATTAGCGATAGCTTTAAAGATATGACATCGCCGAACATAGCACCGCCAATGTCATATCAGATTTGAAATCAAGGCATTATCTTGTCACTTGCATCATACTACATCATTTACATCATAGCAAGTTCGATCTGCTTATGATACTGTGTATATAGATAGCAGCTGGCTGAATCTTCTAGAGGTCAGCGGATCATTCTGTTTTAATCTGACCTCTACTGTAAAAAATGAGTTGTAGAAATAGTTATAAGAGTAATGTGAAGTATGCACAAAAGATATTTAAAAGATAGCAATTTCTATTATTCAAAGTTAATCACTGATCTTCTTTATCTACAGATATTAGTAAGCATTATATAGACAATGTTGTCATCACACTACATTCATCACAATTGATTGTTCCATGCCTTTCTATCGCCATGTATCTATTTTCTAATATAGATATCTCTGTTGCGTTTATTATATCTACATGCTACAATATCGCTATTAATCTGAATCCTCTCTGATATATTACCGTATTATCTTTTATAATTTAAATCTTACAGAGTTTTAAGGATCTCTTGTGATATAAGCAGTTAATTTTCACACCGCTGCTTACACTACTACTATTATTACTACTATTATTATCTCTTATCATTATCATTATCATTATATTAATATACACTGTTTACTATCTTCTTCTATTATTCACTCTTTACACTGTTATCACCCCTAATAATTAATTATTCATTTTTTATTTTATTACTTTAAAATCTTTCAAACTCTGCTTGATTATCAGAGAGTCTTTAAATATATGCAAATTTTTTTCATTATTCAATTTTCATTTTAGTCAATTTGAAAGCTCTTAAAATTGCAAATAATTTAGTATTAAAAATCTTAAAATCTCTGATTCTTTTTCAATTTATCAAGAATTAAAAAAATAGTTTTTATCATTTTCTAAATCTGCTATTTCAATATCAAAATTCTTGTTTTCTCACATTTTAAATCATCAATGTATATAAGAATTGTTTTATCTTTTATTGATTTTATAAGTTTTAAATAAAGTTATTATATCTCATTTTTTTTAAAAAATTAATTAATATTTAAATCAATAAAATTATCATGATTTTCTTTTTAAAAAGAGAGATTTTTAAAAAGTTTTTTTTTATATTTAAATTAAAAAAACTGTCTTCAATTATAAAATAAATTTTAAATCTTTGATATGGTATCTTTTTTCTTTGTTATTACTATTATTATTCCTCCATCATACTTGTAGGCAAGCAGTGCTTATGCCGAGTCCCGGGGTAATGTTAAATACCGACAAGGGGAGGTTATACAGAAGAAATGTTTAGTGTTGAATGCTGTCAGCAATATAACACATACATAGAAAAATTAATACAACCAGAATTTGATACTCACAATACAAATTTCCAACTCATAAACAATAAGTTAAATCAGATAATAGATTCATTTAAAAATATCTACTTAACAGATTCACATTTCTTTATTTTAGAAGCTGAGAAATTGACTCTGGATGTAATATTGTTCTCTTGTAGATTTCAAATTTATGCATCTTGAGTCCCCACGCCAAGGCGCTATCTGATGGCTGCGTTACTCATTCAGCCACCGGGGCTATTTTTTCTTTGTAAAGATTTTGAATTTTGAGATAAATTTATTTCATTTCAATATAAATAAAGTTCTCAATCTAATTTTATTTTAATTGATTTGTTTGAAAAAGAATGTGAAAATCTTTTTTTAATTGAATGATTTGAATATAACTTTATGATTTTAAAAGTATAATTCATATAGATTTTATCAAATCTCATTTATGAAATTGTGACAAGAGTATAAAAAACCCCGGTGGCCGAATGGGTAATGCGGCCACCAGGTAGCGCCTTGGCGTGGGGACCCAAGGCGTGTGGGTTTGAAACCCACAAGAGGACAACATTACATCCAGAGCCAATTTCTCAGCTTCTAAAATAAAGAGATGTGAACTTGCCCAGTAGGTACCTTCAGGCGGACCTACTACCTGATTTAGCTTATTGTTTCTGAGCTGGAAACCTGTATCATGAGTATCAAAGCCTGTCTTTAATTAATTTTCCTATGTTTTTATTATATTCTTGACATCATTCAACACTAAGCATTCCTCCTGTATAACCAACTCTTGCTTGTATTTAACATTACACAAGGACTCGTCATAAGCACTGCTTGCATACGAGTATAACGGAAGAATAATAATAATAATAATAATAAAAGTACAAAAAAAAATTACAGTAGAAAGTAAAGAGCTTTAATGTTGATAAAAGTAAAAGGAAAGAGAATTTTTTTTTTTTTTTTTTAAAATGTCTTTTTATCTCTTCATTTACAATTTAATAATCAAAAACTGATCAATTCTATCATATTAAGAAATTAATAACAATACATATATTATTTATCTAATGAATATAATTGAGATACTATTATCAAATGAGCAATATATCAACCAAGTGCATATATAATGTGAAAAAATTGATACTTATAATACTATATAACAAGCTATATATACGCAAATCACTAAAAACAGCTCTTATGAAAACAGGGGGTAATTGTAAAGCACTCATTTATTATTTTCTGATATATATATTATTTTTATTTATTGCTGCTTTTTATTGCTATGTTCTCACTACCACTGTTTTCAAGAATATATATATATTTATATGTATTCTATATATCTTCTTTTCTTTTCCTTCCCTTTCTTAGTGTTTAAATACTATTTATTACTATCATTTATTATTACTATACATTATCTACTATCTTTTATCATGCACTCTTCGCACTATTATCACCTTTCACACAAGAACTGTGATCAGATTTTAAGATCAAGTAAAAAAAAAAATATGATTCAACTTATTAATTTATATTCATTATAATAAATAAATCACTGCAATCTGTAACATTGATTGAGAAGGCAACTCATGCAGTCTGCACCATATTTTAAACATTCATGATTGAATGTACATGATTGCTGCTCGCATTGAACAGCGCGGCTCAACAGTTTTAAATCATGATATGAAAATTCTTTAAAGGATTTTTGTCTAGAGTTCAATGGGGTGATGGTTTTATGTATTTGACGGATACTATCATCAAAAGATTTTAAAGCTGCTTTATCCAAGGCAGGTAAGCTTTGTAGTTGATTGCTCACTTCAAAGACTTGTAAAGTCGTTTTTTGATTATTCTTATTTGTCAATCATAATTTGAAAATAGATATTGAAATTTAATTACTCAAATAAGAAATAATTAAAATCGGCACTTACTAAAGTATTTCGTGCTATCACATTCAAACTAGCAAAAGAGAACATTATAACGATAAAATAAAATAGTGAAATCATTTTTATAAATTTATATTAATTTTTAAACTGATATTTTTTCATAAATTTTAAATTTAGTGTAAATAAAAAATTAAATCAATACATTTAATGATCTTATTTATATTATATACTTATATATTCCTATTTTAGTTTAATAAATATCTACTTGAAATTATACTTTTCCATTTGTCCGTAGTTATACAGTAAAATTTTTAATTTTACTTCACCATTGTATATTATTTATGATGAATTAGTTAGTAGTATTTGTTAGTTAATTAGCTTACACAATTAATCTTTAATACTTCTTCGTGATGGGTTAACACCCGTTCATAGTCCAACTTGCATAATCAACCTTGTTACTACCCATTCGCCTTCTCACATGCTCATGTATGCCCACAGAATGCTCCTCTTCTCATGATTCTGCTTCACAATTGTGCAGTCTCTAATGATCCCTTCATATGTTCTTTAACATTCTTTCACTCTGTTCTTCATTGTGGTGTGATCTCTGATATTTCTTCATTCTGATTTCTTTTCTATAAAAACCCTCTCTATACAATCTTTTTTTTTTGATCTTTTTTCTTTTTTTTTCTTCATCAATTTGTTAATCTGTATTAGAATAATACTTAGTCTGTTTGAGCTGTACACCGGTACATCTATTGCAGTTAGTGCAGATGGTACAAATGGTACAATCTGCAACATTGGTTTAATTGATAGCACGCCCGTTACATTCTTCATCTACTTATATATTTATACATTTCTATAAAAATCTTCATTTTAAAATTTCATTTTACAATTATATAGTCATTTAATCTATTTCTACTTTATAATTTTTTTATTATAGTATATTTTCATTCATAATTTATATAGTTATACTTTTTAAATGAATGATTGTAATTCAAATCAAGATTTAAAATATCTCTATATTGAAGAAAGAATTATAATATTCATTTTTACTATGTATATTAATAACAATGTATGAGAAGATAAATGTTCATTTTTGGGGCGACGGGGCGAGGATCTTGTTCCAGGGCTCAGTCAGGCCTTTCCACCATTTTACGAACCTTGTACCCCTCCCCTGTTCATGACCGGACCAATGTGATTTTCGCCCGAGAAGTTGCCCCACACCGGGTGTGAGCTACGCCGTGGTTAACGTAATCAACCACCCAACGCTCGTTTCCACCCAACACTCGCCCAAATCTCCCAAATTCATCCATCTTCAAATACCCACAACATGCACCACGAAGCAGTTATAGAGGCAGCGATTGATGATTTACACTCACAGTTGACCCCTAATTATACCGAAACTGCTAAAAAATATGGAATCAGTCAACATACATTATCACGGCGTTACAACAGCATTCAGATGTCAAGAAAGGAAGCAAGCTCTACCCACTGCAAAAATCTCTCAGATTCACAAGAAGAACAGCTTCTTTTTCATATTAATTGATTGTCAGATCACGGTTTCCCTTGTACATCTCAAATCCTTCATAATCTCATTGTTGAGATTCTAAAATCGCCTGTGGGAGTCAACTGGGTGCCACAGTTCTGCCAACATCACAAGGATGTCATCACGTCAGTTTACCTGCGAAATATCGATCAAAAATGCAAGATCGCAGACAATTCTACATAATTTCAAGCATTATTTTGATCTTGTATAGATTGCTTTCTTCTACTGCTTTTTTTGCTTTTATCTTGTCAATTTTTATGTTGATTTGCAGCTACAGGAAAAAATCACCAAATACAACATTGAATCCACAAATATCTACAACTTCAATGAAAAAGGATTCCTATTAGACCTCATCCACACCCTCAAACATATTGTATCGATTAGTTCGCTCAAGTCAGGCCATACAATAGGTGCGAGCCAGAATGGCAGTCATGAATTCATCACACTACTGATCTCAATTTGTGCAGATGGAACTTCACTCCCACCTGCTCTCATATATCAAGGAGAATCAAGAGATATGCAAGATACTTGGCTGGAGGATTTTGATAGTGAAAAGGATCAGGCCTACTTTACTGCTTCAGACAATGGATGGAGCAATGATGAATATGGGTTAATGTGGTTAAAGAAGATCTTTGAACCTCATACAAAAAAGAAAGCAGGGCGTGGGTATAGGCTTCTTATATTGAATGGCCACTCCTCCCACATTAATATGGCATTCATCAATTACACGATTTCACATCGGATTCTACTTGCTGTCTTTCCTCCCCATTCTACTCACCGATTACAGCCGCTAGATGTTGGAATATTTGGATCATTGGGTAAATCATACTCAAATCAACTAAATGAATGGATGAGAACTGGAATGGGATTCATATGCACTACAAAGAGGTCTTTTTGACAGCTATTTGATGCAGCATGGAAGGAGGCAGTTACACCTTCAAATATTATATCTGTGTTCACAGCAGTTGGCCTATATCCATTTGATCCGGACCGGGTTCTTAAAAAGCTCGCAATATGCCCTTGCACCCCCCCAGACCAATATCGACCCAGAACCTCTACTTCTATTATTGGCATGTGGAAATTGGTGAAGCAAGTCAAGCAGCAGCAGCATCGAATCTCTCATGATCTCAACTGAGTGATCCGTGCGGGAGAAAATCTTGCTCTTGATAAAGAGATTCTTCTAATAGAGAACAGGCAACTACAGCAAGCTCTTTAATCAAGAGAGAAGACATCGCAAGCGTGGCAGGGCAATGGGGTTGCTAGATCCTTCAAATCCATCATTGGCACGGTTCTTTTCACCAGCAAAGGTGCAGAGCATCCGCGAGCAGATGACTGCTGCGGAGGCCACTAAAAAGGATGAACAGGCCTGTAAGAAGGATGCCAAGTTGCAACACACTATTCTTAAGAAGCAGAAGGAGGCAGATATCATGTCACAGTGGATGAAGTGGAAGGGAGCTCACCAGGCAGCAAAGGAGCAAAAGAGGATGGATAAGACTGCGAGAGCCGCTCAACAGCAGATTGAGAAGGAGCTTAGGGATGCAAGGAAGGCTCAAGAGCAAAAAGAGAAGGAAGAACAAGCTGCTGCACAGCAGCATCACAGTTAGATAAGGCCGGGATTGAAGAATCCAAAAATCACCTTCCTAATCAGGAAAGTAGACCCTCAATTTCGCAAAGAGTGGTTAAATCATGTTTTCAGAGCAAGGCCAGGGTGCCCATGGATCCGCTGCCGGAGGATTCTGATGATATCGTGATCCCTACTGATTTGATGACTGCCTGCTCGCTGAATCTGCCTCCACCCAAGATTTCGCGTTCCGGGCGAGTTATTAAGCCCAACAAACATCTTCTGAATTAGCTATATATTTCTATATGTAATTTTCTATATATATTTTCATCATATAATATATCATATTAAAATCTAATCGCGTTGTTGAGATATTGTTGAAAAGATTTCATCATAGTGGTGGCGAAATGGCGAGCGTTGGGTGGTTGATTACGTTACATATTTAACTACAAACGAAACTAAAACTACCAACCTGAATCGAGAGGAAACTACAAGGATACCCAGGCATGAGCATTCAAGATATATCTAGGTAACCTCTGATCAAAAAGATCACTCACAATTGACAGCTGCTGCTGTTGGTTCAAAAAGGTTTTGTATCGGCCTGGAAGGTTGAGTCAAACTAAAAAATTATGATATTCTTTGCTATTGATGAGGCAAACCAATCACTACAGTGTCAGATATTAAGTTTGAAACACCCCCCCACTGCCACTGATGCCAAGATATCACTAACCCAAACCCAGTTATGTTGAAATGCTGCTTTTATCATACTATTTACCCCTTTCTTCAAGAGTGATAAAGGATGTGTATAGGGCCTTTTTACCTGAATTTGTGAGAGAGAGGGATATATTCATGCATGATGGAGCCAGGGTTCATACAGCTCACATAGTTAAGGAGGTTCTTGAGGAGATGAATATAGAGATCATGCCTTGGCCTCCATATTCTCCAGAGTTGAATCCTATAGAGAATCTTTGAGCACTGTTGAAGCAGGAGATCTATAAGCTGCATCCAGAGCTGGAGCATGCATCAGATACAGTAGCTACAAAAAGAGCTTTAATAGAGGCAGCTAAGGAGGCATGAAATGTAATTGATGATAGCATTCTATATAATCTTTCTGCTACAATGTCTCATCGAGTGAAGGCAGTTATAGAGGCAGAAGGATGGTATACAAAATATTAATATAAAGATCTTTGCAAAAAGCAGCATATAGATATTAACGTTATATGGTTAGTGTAATCTCGGCGGCCAGGGGGGGGGTTTTCAAATTTAATACCCCCCACTGTACTAGTTGAAATTATCTCGATTGCAAAGCACCCAACGATCCTTTAGTCTGTACACTCGGAACATGTTTAAAGTTTAAATTCCTAGCCACATAAAACCGTTAATGGCGATGTCATTCGTATTCAATGATAGGGCAGCCCTCCGTACATTCAGCATGGTGTTGTAAACCCCTTCCTCAATTCGATACCCGGCCGCTCGAAATTATCCTTATTAACTTCTGTGAACCGGAATAGATGCCAAACTATAACATCTAGTCCAAACACTACGGAAAACCAAAAAATAAAAATCGCAAACCGCCCATAATATAACCCGCGCGGGGTGGCGATTCCTATATTCAAAGCAACTATCCCGGATATCCAAGGTCCCCGCTCACTCATCCTGGAGTTTGCCGAGAAATGTTAACATTAAATCCAACTCAATTGTTTGACTCATGTTATAACACTGTCTAGCCTGGGCCTCACATTTGCTTTGGCAAGGAGAATGGAGGACATCGGATCTAATATTAGGTTGGCGTTCGACCGGTGGGACAGAGCAAGTAACCCTCGACAATATTGCCTCCCAAGAAGCGATCGGGATACAGGGGAATTCAAAATGGTGGTGTGGAACTGTAGAAACTGGGTTAGATTGCCCCGTTGAATTCTTTGAAGTTAGGCAAACTAGTAATGTTGGGACACTATCTAGAGGAGATAGCAGACATCCATTTCTGTTCATCGCTTCTATATGCAAAAGATATAAATCGTCAGTATGTTGGAAAACAGTGAATCGGGGAAGAAGGGATGCAGTAGTGAAAGCCACATACGAGTCAAATTGCAGCAGCATTCCCAGTACTGGAATGAGCTGCTTCTGGTAGTTCTTGTCCCTCTGCTCTAGGAACTGCAACAGAACATTCTTAAGGTATACGTAGTCAACCCCACCCGAGCCCTGAAGAGTTGCACTCCTACTCTGAGAATGAGGCGATACGAGTCCACCACTACGTGGCTGTTGCATCTCAGAATCCAGTGATGACCGTGGTGATCGGCTAGAACCCGTATTGCTCGACTTGAACCCATACCATTTGCTGGCTTTGGACACCTTTCCATCCTCTGTCAATGTCCTATTTGATTTGCGAAGTTTATCAAGCCGCCGGTTCGTTGCCTCGATGGAGCGGCGCAGTTCTGCATTCTCTTTCTCCAGCTCCCGTATCTGCCTCTCACCCTCGTCAAGGGTGTCTCGCAGGTGCGTCATCGTCGCATGAACGTCGCTAAGTTCCTGTTTTGATCGCTCTGTTTCGACTTCAAGTTCACCCTGCCGCCGTTTCCACTCTTTCTGCGCATACTCTAGCTCTTCTTTGTCCTGTTCCACTCGTCGCAATGTACGCTCCATATCGCGAGTTCTCGTCCTAAGCTCTTCGATCTCTCTCGTCCGTTTGCGTCCAACGAGGCTAGCTTCGTCTTCTGCCCGATCACGTTCTTCAATGGCTGCTTCTAAGCGCTCCTTAAATTCACGAACCTTAGCATCTGTCCTCATCTCAATGTCTGATAGCAGCCGTCGCATTGTTTCACACTCTCGAGTGCGCTCAGAGAAGAGGCGGTGAGCATCAGCGACTTCCTCCTCAAGACTGACGCAACGTTCACGAGCTTCTTTAACTTGCATGGCCATCTCAGACGCTTGGTCGCGCATGCTGTTCATCAAGCTTTGTGCACTAGCGTGCTGTGCAGTTTTCAATTGGAGTTCATCTCGTAAGCTTTCAATGTCTCTGTTAAGCTGTTCCGTGTGCTCCTCAACTTCCAGCAATCTCGTTCGCGATGACCTTAGCTCTTCCTGTGTCTTCGCAAGGGTTTTTGCTGTCTTCTCATTCGTCTCTATGGCCTCTTGCTTTTTCCCTTCAGAGTAGCGTAGATCGGATTGCGCAACCTCCAATGCTTGCTCTGCCTTAACTCGGCTAGCAATACCTTGAGTGACCCTTTGGTTCAGGGATTTTATTTCTGCTTCCTGCTCTCCAATCTTACCTCTTAAGTTTTTCATTTCAGATCGAAGGTCTTCATGGCGCCACTCCAAACGCTTTAGGTCGTTGGTTTTGTTCCTAAGGTCCTCTTTGGATGTTTTAAGTTCGGTTGATTTAGCCCGAAGATTCCTCAATTCAGGTTGAACTTTTTCGAGAGTTTCTCTTAAGATTGTCAAATCCTTGAACCGTGACGCGGCGAGTTGCTGAGCAGCGGAAAGATCTGTTTGCAATACCGTAGCTTTTATCTTCAGGTCCTCAAATTCGACAGCCAGATCTTTGTGAGCATCCTCATTTTGACGGGAGCTGGAAGATACTTGTGTTCGTAGATCATGCAATTCCTTTTCTAATTCCTGGATGGTGTGGCCAAGGGTTTTCTTTTCTGTTAAGAGTTCTTTAACTTTCTCTCTGGCCTCGACACAACTCTGTCCAATATCACGAAGCCCATCACGTAAAGAATCAATCTCTTCTCGCAGTTCTTCTTCACCCTTAAGCTTAGAATCAAGTCTGCTAATGGCGGCTTCCTTCCCTGCGAGTTGTATTGTAAGATCCTCGATCATTTTCTCGAGTTCAGCGATGCCGTTGGAGGTTTTGGGTGAAGGAGGGGATTCCATCTTTGGAATTATCGGAGGCTGAGGGGCTTCATCTACACCGTCTTTTCCATCCTTCTTCTTCTTCCTCTTACATTTCTTCTTCCCCCCACCAGCCGCGGCAATAGTATTCTGACTAGCAACACTAGGCTGAGTGTTGCTCACGATCAAACTAACCCGGAATTCTTCGAAATCGGCAGTTTTGCCATCTAATATACGTTGCTTAGCGGTCTGCCATGCGTCATTGTCTTTGAAGCCTTCGTCAACAAAATCAACAATCCTCTGGGTTCCCTTCGCCTCAGAGTCTTTAGCAGCAACATCAGCCTTCAAAGAAAATATAGTACTTTCCGCATCTTTCAGCTGCGACTTCAAAGTTGTAACAATGCCCTGTAGTATATTTAGTCGTCTTTCTCCAGACTTTTTTTCCTGCTCTCCCACGGCTGCGTCAACACTTTGTTCGGCTTTCTTGTCACTAGCCTGGATCAATTTTTCAGATTTGTTACCCAACTGCGTTTTCAACTCCTCTATAGTAAAACTTGATCTCTCCACGTCCGTCTCAGCCACCGAAAGTTGAACTTTAAGAGTAGATATCTGATCTTCAAACATACTCCGTTGATTCTCCAAATCCAACTGCAATCGATCATTTGCCTCTCTCAATACAGTTAGCTCTCGGGTAGCCGATTCCAAGCTCTGCGCCATACCCTCCGTCGACTCACGAGCAACAGACAAATCCCCATTGAGAGTTTTCACCTCTGCTTTCAAAGTCTCGACCTCCTGCTGTCTTTTCTCCAATTGTGATTCTAAACGGGGTATCTCATTATCAAAGGAAAAAAACTCTTCACTTTCTTCAACGGGATGAGGGGAGGTGACAGATCTCGCGCTCGGAGAAAAGAGTGAGATCCCAGGAATAGATGCTATTGAGAGTGTTGGGGATTTCTGCGCATATTCCAACGAGCTGGCTTCTGCAGACGCAGATGTGGGTTCGATCGTGGGTGGAGCCTTACCACTTACTTTCTCACCTTTCGTGGTGCCTGTTCCATGCGAGGAAATAAAGGTAACTGGCTCTTCTTGAGAATCACGAGAAGATTTATCAACTTCTGTGAACTTTTTCTTATACTCATCCCTCTCAGTTGTAACGCGCTTAAGCTCGTCTAAGACAATGTCGCCTTTTAAATGGATCTGGTTGAGGTACTCTATTAAAGCTCGAGGGTCGTTTATGGATGTTAGAGGAGTATTCTCGCGCAGTGTTGCTTCAAAAGGTTCGATGGACAGTACTCGTTCCTGGGCAATTCGGTACGCCTTTAATAATTCTGTAGAGGGAAGTTTAGCCAAAGCAAGAAAAACACTGGCAATTCACACCCACCTTGATATCTCCCTTCTAACTTGCCAAGCCTCCGTAACTTCACCCTCACTTCGGTTGAGAGATCCATCTGTGGAGGTTCTTCCAGTGCGGCAGTGGCCCCCCGTCCGAAATCTAGTCTACTTTCCTTCGTCCTCTCCCTGCCACTTTCCTGGTCAGTAGCGATTCCAGCGCTTCCGCTTCGTCCAGTATCAGTCATTTGAACAGGAGTGCTGTTTCTAGTTGATGAGTCATCATCTCCTAGAATAAAATCCGGATCGAATTCAGCAGTATCGCGGCCCTTCGCGGTAGCACTGTTGTGTCGTTTTAACCTTGTAGAACGGGAATCCGCTTGTGCATGCGTTCCCAGGACGTTCGAGTTGGATCGGGAATGGGAATTGGACTCTTGGGCTGTTTTCTGGCGGGCTTGCTCCTCTGCTATGCGAGAATCAATGGCACCCTTAATCCGCTATTTGGTCGAATGTGATCAGAACAGGTGTTGTCTTTCGGCGTGGGGATTTCTGATGGTCACATTATATGGAGCTTACCTGGAACATTGCCGTCGTAAATTGCGAAGCTTATATCTTGGTCAGAGGTGGGCGATGCGTGAGGATTCTGAATTCGAAACCTTCCTGAGAGAGCGAGATAGCAAGAGTGAGCTTCCAGCGTATGGCGCTACGGCAGCCCATACTAATACTAGTGTTACAATGTACTGTACAAGCAACTCTTTCGCCGCGGTGTCGCCACGGCGCCATTCTCTTGTTAAATTGTACTGCATTGCCAATGACTGGACTCTCTCTATATACATGATACAATAAATCACATCATCTACTGCATGAGACAGTAGTGGTTTATCTCTGATATATTACAATTGTTTTTGATGCTTTATATGTAGAGAGATGTTTTATCCTTTTAAAGTTCATTTGTTAAATCAGTAAGTGTAAAGATAGTACTTAAAATGTTTGATTCATTAAGTATAATCTCAATTCTCGATTCTTCTATTGAAAAAGATTTGTTATATAGATATCTTTAAAAAATCTATACTGAGTTAATTATTCATTATTTTATTTGATTCTGATTTTAATCCTGTAAGAGATGTATTTTGTTTAACAGCTAACACTATTCTAATACAGTTTATGAATTAATTAAAAAAAGAAAGAAAGAGAAAGAAGATCAGAAGAAAGAATTATATAAAAAGATTTTTATAAAAAAAAAAAAAAAAAATAGAAGAAAAGAATATCAGAGATCACATTATAATAAAATGTCAAACAATAAAACATTGAGAGTTATATAGATATATATAAAATAAAGATTATATAAAAGAGTTATTAAAAATTGTACAAACACAAAATAAAGTTGTGAAAAATTGATTGTATAAATTAATTAACAGATGCTAATTTATCATATTTTTTTTTATTAAAATGAGTGAGAATTTATAAATGTTGAGAGCAGCAGTGTCTTTTATAATGAACATAAATTTTCAAATTAAATAATTATATTTTATTGATGTAATAAAATATTCACTAAACTAATCAGCGGAACCATGAAGTACACATTTAATTTGATCTGATTTGATTCCAGTTTATTGTTTGATATGATTTTAAGTGAAATCAGAATCAGAATGAAAGTGTAAAGAAATCAAAATTTTTAAAAATGAAATGTAAAAAAATCAAATTTAAATTTAATATTATTAAAATAAAATTCACAGATCTTGATATTTCATATAAAATGATTGATTATGAAAAATTAAAATATGATTTAAAATTCATTATGATTTTCACTCAAGTTTAATTCCATTCTGATAATTATATAATACATATATAGACCCGGTGGTGTAGTGTTTAACTACCCATCTGATGTCCCAGAAGAGGCGCGGGTTTGAATTTTGCAGCGCTCATTTTAATCAATTTTCACTGTTAAATCATCAAACAATATTGCATGTAACTGATCTCTGTTAAAATGTTAGTTATAACTGAATGCTAAATTCTCACTGATCTTGTAAAGCTAGCACTCTTCTAGTGCTTCAAGTTAGATCAGTACTGGATAGATAAGATGTGATGAGAGTGAAAAGACTCACAGAATAGTGAATCATCATCAAATTTAATTAATTAGAGATTTACTGTCATTTCACTCATTAACTATCTACACATCTTTGAATTTCAGAAAATTAACATTTAAAAACTATCTGATCAGAAGACTCTAGGTTTAGTGAGAATTTAAATGAATGAGATTTAGACACTTTATATGATTAATAAAAACAAGGCTGTGACAATCAATTGATAAACTGAAATGCTGAGATTGACAGCTGGAAAATCAGAGGATTAATTAGAACTAAATATCTCTGATGTTATTTTTAATAAAGATTTCATTTAAATAACTTAATTAAAAATTCAGATAAGTAGCTGTGAGAGATAGATTATAGAAATAATTATAATAGTAATGTGAAAAACGCATTAAGGTGTAATGCACTCGTTTATTATTTCCTTATTATTATATTATCTTTGTTTATATCTTCATTTATTCTTTCCTCTTTCCATTATACTCTCGCTACTGCTATTTCTATATATATATATATATATATGAATGTATGTATTTCGCACATTTTTTTTTTTTTCTTTTTCTCTTTAGTGATTAGCTACAGCTACACTATTATTATTACTACTATAATTACTATTATTTTTATCTTCCACTACACTAAATACTATCGTTTATTATTTACTCTTCACATTGTCATCACCCCTCACAGTTTCCAATCGCTCAATCTTTGAGAGACAGTTCATTGAGTAATAGTCATAGCTTCTACCTGCAGCATCCGTCGTACTCATGCTACTGCTGAATCAGAAACAACAAACATCAGTGAAGAAAACTGCAAAATGCACATCTCTGCCACTGAAAGTGTGCAATAAGCATCAATCTTCTCTATAAAATCAGATTTTAAACATAGTTCAGAAGAGAACACCTCTTCTGAAAATTTAAATGCAATTGAAACTGAGAACATAGCTGTGATTAGAAAAATGAAGAAGTTACAGACTAAGAAGAAATTGTAAAAACTTCAACATCAATGCAATATTTTATTGCAAGAATTGAATGAAATCATTTCAATCATCTGAAATACATTCAAAGCATATCTGAACCATGGTAGAGATGTAATTAGTATTGTGAGGGGTGATGACAGTGTGAAGAGTGAATAGTAGAAGATAGTATATAGTGTAGTGGAAGATAATAATAATTATAGTAGTAGTATAGTTGAAGTTGTAGTTGTAGTTGTAGCTAATCGCTGAAGAGGAAAAGAAAGAGAAAGAAGATGTGCGAAATACATGCATCCATATATATATACATACAGAAATAGTGGTAGCGAGAGTATAATGGAAAGAGGTAAGAATAGACGAAGATATAAACAAAGATAATATAATAATAAGGAAATAATAAACGAGTGCATTACAATTGCCCCCCTTTTTTATAAGAGCTGCCCTCAGCGATTGTATAGATTGCTTGCTAGTAGATGTTTGCATTTCCGTATTGTAGATGCCGCTTGTTGATAGCAGTGTATCGATCGCGTCCCCTCAATAGCTTGTATACGCGTTCTTATCGATTCCTTAATGAGGTAGAATTGGTGGATTCTTTGGTTGCTAGGGGTTGCGTGCAGAGAAACAAAAAGAATTTCTTTTCCTTTGAAAATTTCTCTTCTTTTTTAACTTGACCATCATCAAAACTCTTTGCCCTCCTGCTGCGATTTTTCGTTCTTAATTCAATAAAATTTTCGTTCTCCCTCCCCCCCCCTTTTGTTGAAATGGGCTCCCTCGGATATCCCGATTTTAAGTAAGTTGTTCTTCGCGTATTATTGTTGGTGTTCTCTGTCAGTGGCGTTATTAGCGTGGTCACATGCTTCACTAGCTTGTTCCAGTATAGCATCATTCGCTGTTCGCTTGTTCTGTTGCCCTAGCTTTAACCCTAATCTCGTGACGTACAACAGTCGGATTCCGTGCGAACGTTGTGCCTGGTCCTTCCAGGGCAGAGGTGTTAGAGGAAGAGGAGGGTGTGGAGGAGGATGTGGGGGTTTTGGAGGTGTTGAGCTCCGGGGGCTCCGTGGCGGAGGGGTTGATTGGAGAGGAGTTGACGGGAGAGGAGCTGGCTGGAGAGCCAATGGAGGAGGTTGTGAAGGCGCCGGTGGCCGCAGTGCCATTGGCGTCTGTGGAGCAGGGGGAGCGGGTGCCCCGGACGGTGGAGGAGTGGGGGGAGAAGATGGGGGGGAATGCCTTCGTTAACCGGATGTGCCGGAGAATGGGTAGGTTGATGGGGGAGGGGAGGAGTGAGGAGGCAAATGTTCTGTGGGATAGGCATTTGCCTATACCTCTGCGCCCAAAATGGGTGCCGGTAATTTACGAATACGTGAGATTTGCGCTTCTAGCGTTTTTCAACTTGAGATTCGCGCTTTTGGCGTTTGGGAGTATGTTGGTTTTGTATTTGTCGTTCATTTTCTTGTTCAAGGAAGATTTCGAATGCCTGAGTGTTTAATATGTTTTCTTCCGGTTCCCATGTATCACCACTAGGTCCCCAACCTGTCCATCTCACAAGATATTCCGGAGGTTTGTTTTTTCGTTGTCGTTTTTCAAGAATTTCCTCAACTTGGTATTCTTCTTCGCCGTCGACAAGTTCCGGTCCTGGTTCTGGTAAAGCTCCATTCCTGCGGTTGTATGGCTCCAATAAAGAAACATGGAATACAGGATGGATGTTTCTATATGAAGGTGGCAGTTCCAGTTTGTACGCTTGTTTTCCGATGGTATTCAGAATCTTGAAGGGTCCAACATATTTATGGTCGAGTTTACGAACCGGGCGTAGTAATCGGAGGTTTTTTGCATTGAGCATGACGTAGTCACCTATTTTAAATTGTTGAGGCTTATGTTTTGCATCGTAATAGATTTTCTGTGCTTGTCGTGCTTTTTGTAGGTTCTCGATGAGCTTGTGGCGTGTTTCCTCAATATGTTTCGCGCGGCTAGCAGCATGTATGGCAACCGGTTGTGGTGGTTTGCTGACGTTAATTTTCAAATCAGGTCGATATCCCATTAAGGCTTCCGCGGGTGCCATTCCAGTAGAGGCATGTTGAGAGGTATTGTAAACAAACTGTGCTAGTGGTAGCCAGCGTGCCCAGTCATCTTGATGATAGTTGACAAAGCATCGGAGATAATGTTCCAAGGTTTGATTCTGTCGTTCCGTTTGGCCATCTGTTTGAGGGTGAAAGGCTGTCGAAAGTTTCCGGCGTGCGCCTAGCATGTAACAAAAGGTGGACCAGTAATGGCTTGTAAACAGCGAACCTCGATCGGATATATGGTTTTTAGGTACTCCGTAAATTGTATAGAACTTGGTATAAACGATTTCCGCTAGCTCATCCGCTGTAATGTTTTTGGTGCAAGGAATATAGATCGTAAACTTGGTATATATATCCACAATCACTAAAATCGCATCGTAGGTTTGGTGGAGGAATGTAGAGGCTGGCAAGCCTGTAATAAAATCCATAGTAATGGATTCAAAAGGATTTGATGGTAAGGGAATTGTACCC